GTCTTTATAACGTCTACTAGCTGTCGACCCGCGACTCCGTCTGCGCAGATGAAAAAAGGGTCTTAACAGACAGACGGACGGACAACAAAGTGATCCTATAAGGGTTCCGTTTTTTTCCTCCAAGATACGGAACCCTAAAAACATTATTAGTGCCTTGTATCCTTTGTCGCGAATTGCGCGCTATCGTTAAAAAGTCCAGCGTCAAAATGATTAGTGAGGAGACATAATCGTTGACATTTTAATAAGGCTAGTATTGCGCCGGTATACCGGCACAGTGTCGGATTATCTTCCTAACAATATTAATTAAAGTTATTACCAAAAGGTGATGAAATCAACTGATTGTAATATATTGAACATGTTGCAATAATCCAATTACTTTTCATATAATTGGCTGTGAAGTGAACGGTGTCGTAAACATTTTATAAAGGCTTGTATAAATAGAAGCGCCACAATAAACAATGTAATTTATGTGCGAAGATGAAATTCGAGATGATAGTCAATTTATATGAGTGGCCATCAATAAAATATACGACACACAATGATGCGATGATATACCAATTTATTTTAAACGAACACATCGAATATTATATCTTTTAAAGCAGAGGTTTTTAACATTTATTAAAAACAAACATGAAAAGTAACAATCTTACTTCTTACTAATGTTATAAATGCTAATGGTTTAGATCAGTGGTTCCCAAACTTATTTTGTCTACTGCCCACTTGGAGAATAAATATTTTTTTAGCGCCCCATATTTTCACATATTTAAAAACCACTATAACTTCAAATTAAATTAATTAATTATTGTGACCTATATATGTATATTAACGGAGAATTCTAAACGAAACTTTTACTATAACCCGCAACTTGAGATCTGCAGCGCCCACAAAGGTGCGATATCGCCCACTTTGGGAAAGACTGGTTTAGATAGTTGGATGGCTATTTGTTAGAACGTATCTCCAGAACATCTTAACGGATCTCGATGAAATTTGACATACATATAGTATATATTCTGGGAGAAATTATTAACTGTGTTTTTTTTAATTCCTAGTAATAACTAATTATATATCTTAGAATAGTTTAAATAAATGTGTGTTTCCTGTTGGGCCGATCGGATTACCGATCATTTGGCTCGATGGGATATTTTTACCGTTGGCCTGTTGGATTTTTTTCATTCTATAGACTTAATTGGCCCAATGGGAAATCTTTTTGATTCTTTGGTTTCTGAAAAAATATACTTACTTGGTCCTTTTTTGGTAGGCTGATCTCCCCAATGGGAATCAACCAAATTGTGGTTAGGTATTTTTTAAAGTTTAATTGCATCAATCAATCATTAAATATCTTGCATAAAAACATTAATATATTTATAATCTTTATTTCTCTGTGCCTAAAAAGGCTTTCTTATAAACACTGGTTTTCATGGCAACAAATATATTGCCATCCTTTTCGTTTTGTTTAAAAAGACAGGGACAAAAGTTAACAAGTCAAGCGATAAATTCCTTTGAAGTTTAATATTGCACACTCTCCAAAATTGTGTCATTTTAATCCAAGATGATAAAAAGATAAGATTGATGAGATCTTACGTAACCATTCCCCTTCGCAGCGACATTCCCCTCTCCCCCACTCCGCGTAATCTTACGAAAACTTCGTGAATTGATTATTATAAAATTCACAATCTTTCTATCTTTGTTCTTACTAATATTATAAATGCATATGGTTAGATAGATGTATGTTTATTTGAAGGTATCTCTAGTACGGCTGAATGGATCTCTTTAAAATTTGAATTACATATAGAACATAGTCTGGAAGAACACATAGGGTACTAATTATGTTTTTTTTATTCTGTGCGGACGGAGTCGCGGGCAACAGCTATGAATATGAAAGTATAATAAATCATTCGTTGAATTTATTGATAATGAAAACTTAATGACAACAACCTTCATAGAGTTTACAATTTCTCGGAAAGAAACTCGTCTGATCGTATACTTCCCGATACTTATATGGTTGTCTTAATAAAAATGTTAATAGATGTAAGTTGGATAAAAAATGATGATTTGTCTGGGAAATGTTGTGATATCACTTTCTTTTTAAATCTAGTTTGCAATGAAATATCTTTAAATGTCCACTGTGGTCACGTCTATGGAAAAAATAGTTTTTTTTTATATCATAAAGTGGCAAACGAGCGAGCGGTCACCTGAAATCGCTGAAATAGCGAAGCGACCGTTGGCCATAGACATACGCAATTGCATATGCGTTGCCTACCTTTGATCGAAGGAGGAGAGGATGCACAGAAATAAAATATTTTCCCTTTCCATGCATCCTCTCATCCGGAAAGTCCACTTCCACTTCCCATCCCTTCCTTATAAGAAAAAGGGTGGGAAGGGAAAGAGGACTAATTTTGGCCTCCGGGACGCACACTTATCAGACGAAACGCGGAATTGCTTTCACTTCACGCCTGTCTTCTGTGTGGTCGTGGTATTTCACTGGACGAGCCGGGCCGATTCGTGCGAAGATGTTAAAGCGGGCTCTACCACTGTTAAAAAGTTTTTAAATATATTTGTTTTTCGACAGTAGAGACGTCTAATTAACATGATTTCCAAACAGTATAAAAGACAAATGAATTAGGCTATCTAAACTTATAAAGAGGAAAGATTTATTTTGTTTGTTTGCATTGAAGGCTCCTATACTACTGAACGTATTTGAAAAATTCTTTAACACCGCACGGTCGAAGTTGCTGGCTACTGCCAACTTATCTTACTAATATTATAAATGCGAATGTTTAGATGATGGATGTTTGTTTGAAGGTATCTACAGAAAGGCTGAAATTTGGCATACATATAGAACATAGTCTGGATGAACACTAACTACTAGTTATGTTTTTTTTAATTTCGCGAGAACGGAGTCGCGGCCGACAGCTTTTGTCTAATATCATATAATACTTTTATTTTAACCTTTAAAAAACAAACGATAAATAATTCTTAAAAGTAAAATAATAAAGCCAAAATTGTATCACAAATAAATTCTAACTGGAAATTACTTTCTGATGGAAATTTGTACAATTTCTATTTAAGATAAAACGTATTTCAAATTGTACCGCCAGTTGCGGACTCATTGAATATTAAACAAGCCATCTTAATGAGAAGGAATTCCAGACGTCATTGTTCACAAATGAACACAAAATAATAATAAATTATTACATAATACAAAATATTCTACTGCTAGCTATCGCGACTACATACGCACCGAATTAAAAAAACTTAATTAATAGCCTATGTGTTCTTCCAGACTATGTTCTACATCTGTGCCAAATTTTAGCAAGATCCATGCAGTCGTTCTGGAGATACCTTTTAACAAACATACATCCAAACATTCCCATTTATAATATTACTAGCTGTCGCCCGTAACTCCGTCTATGTGTTCTTACAGACTGTTTTATATCTATGCTAAATTTCAGCAAAATCCATACAGCCGTCATAGAGATACCTTCTAACAAACATCCATCTATCTAAACATTTGCATTTATAATATTAATACTTATAATTGTTTTTACATTTCCTTTAAGCCATATTTTCTCTTCTCTCAGTTGTATGAACCATGACCTAATACAATTATCTTTTTTTCGCTCTATATGGAAGGCTATCAAGTCATCCTTCTCGATATATATCCTTCGACATTTTTGTCACTAATGTTCGTCTTTATCGTATCACTTTACGTTCAATCCAACTTGTAGTAAGCCTACACCTACCGATGTGATTCTATGATCTAAAGATATGATTAAAATTGGAGTGTCTGTATGTAATAACAAATAAATTATCATTTGTTTCGCGAACATGTGCTTTAAAATTTTTGTTTGTCTACCTGTCCGCAAGTCTTGGTCTGTTTCGGGTAATCTCTGGATTGGACCGATTTTGACGGAGTCTAAGCAAAATATTAATTCCTGTATTACTCCAAAAAATGCTTAGACACTTTCTTTTTTATAACAGAAGGGGGCAAACGAGCAGCAGGAACACCGAGTTGTTCAACGACGCTCATGAACATCAGCAACACCAGAGGAACCGCAGATGCGTCGCGTTGATAAGCTCGCTTCTTGAAGGACCCTAAGTCGTAGCGGTTTGGAAATACCGCCGAGAAATACCAAATTAAACACCTGTTTTAACCCTTTGAACGCCGATGATTGATATAGACGTCATCATGGTTATGGTAAAAAGGATATGTTTAACCTTAAATATGAATCATATTTTGGTGTTTATTTGTCAAGATCGAATTTCGGTAGAAAAATTATGATTTCTGCTAATGTCTAATAACAGCATGCAATAAAAGGGTCGACATATATTTAAGCTAAAATGTAATTGAACGTTGTCCAGGTTTTTATAATTAGGTTTTAAAAAATCATCCGACAAAGTATGGCGTTGTAACATCTTATAAAACAAGAGATGAAACCCTATAACATATAAAAATATACAGAAATAAAAAAAATAGATAAAGAATTTTATTAAATGTAAATGTTTCACTTTTCTTGAATTTCAAAATGATTTTATATGTTCTGACTAGCTGCGGCACGCGACTCCGTCCGCGCGGAATTAAAGAAAACTATTGGTCGCAGCGTATTGTTATATAGCCTAAAGCCTTCCTTTATAAATGGACTATCCAACAAAAAAAGAATTTTTCAAATCGGACCAGTAGTTCCTGAGATTAGCGCGTTTAAACAAACAAGCAAACTCTTCCGCTTTATAATATTAGTATAGATTAATAAACGATTTTAAAAATTGTTGAAAATAATTAGTAAAATGCTATAAATAAAATAAAATGCTTCAGTAATAGAACATAAAAATAAAACTAAAAATTATGTTTTAAAAAATATTTCAACAAAGAACTGTGTAATTTTCGCTTATAAATAAAAATTCCGTATTCATAAAACATTTTCATTTAAACCAACTTCCATTACAAATATCAACAAACAAAAAATATAAAACACGTTTTAATTAAAAAATATTTTACATACCGTTCAAATATCGTTCAATTTTTCACAAACCCCTCGGGTGTTGAACATTCAAATCCAAACTGTTTAACCTTTAAACTTGAACAACACAAAACACACACTCCCAAAAAAATTACGTACTAAAATTCGTTCGTAAAATCGTAACGTAAATAGCTCACTAACACAACCGTTCTCTTAGACGGTCAGAATCAAACTGATCGGGGGGGTGCGGTTAAAGCTCAAAGCTTTATGGAATATTCTTCTTATTACTCTAGTATGTTGCAACAGGACCGCCTTTACCTTAATAAAAGCCTACACATGTCACATTAAATCCCACGCTAAATGTCTAAATCAAATAACATTAAAAGTTCCGTTTTGAACTTTCAATTCAATAGTTGAAAAGCTCAAAATACAACTCTTAGCCTTTTATCTCATGTACAAAGTAATAGTTAAATTAAGAGATTTTCATCTAGAATAGAAACTAAATTACGTTTAAGTATTTTAAAGCCTTTTAGACGTAAGTTTGTAAAGTATGAAAACATAAATATTTAACCATCAACAATAGTTGTATAAAGAGACCTATTTAAACAGATTACAAATAATTTAAGTAACCATTAAATAGCAGATATATTATAGTGAAATGAAATTATCTCTACGTTTGTCCAGACAAATGAAATGTCAATTTTCATGATCTAAAAATGGTACAACTAACGCCATCTATCGTAAAATTGATGTTTTATCATAAAAATACCACACCAAGTTATTTGGAAAATATAACATTACATAGATCGACGTCTTATATAAATATTTCTGGTTATATATTATTTTATTATGTACTCTGTCACTCGTGACTTCGTCGTTGCGGTATTAAAAAATATTACTAAGTAGCCTATGTGTTCTTCCGGACAATATTTTACATCCATGCCTAATTTTATCTAGATGTTGAGCCATTCTTTAAATTACCTTCCAAAAAACATCTATCTATTTATATATGCAAACATTCGCATTTATAATATTAGTAAGATGAATTCAGAAACGATAATCTCCTTAGATATTCCGTAAGCAACACAAAACACTAACTCAACAAATATCTGACTGAAACCGTCCTAGCTGTGGACCAGTGAAATGTAGCCAAGTGTGTGTTCAGAATTCTAATGATGTATTCCGAATTTATTTCCTTTAGTTGAAATTTTATTTTTACTACTTAAAAATTGCATATTCTCTGTTCTCTGTTTCTCTCTAATATTATAAATGCGAATATTTGGATCGATGGATGTTTGTTTGATGATATCTCCAAAAAGACTGAACAGATCTCGCTGAAATTTGACATACATATAGAACATAGTCTGGAAGAACACACAATAGGCGACTAATTAATATTTTTAGTACCTCCCCGACGGAGTCGCGAGCGACAACTAGTTTGCTATAAAGCAATCAAATCAGGAAAATGTATTTTATAAAATAAGTAACAATTTTTTCGAAGATTTTTTTGGTCACTTACTACCTTAATTGGCTTGATATTTCATTAAAATTTTAAAAACTTATATTCAAAGATAATTTAAACAGTAATTTATTTATTAGACTAATTGTCGCCCACGATGTCCTGAACGGAATTAAAAAAAAAACTTAATTAGTAGCCTATATGTTCTTCCAGACTATGTTCTATATGTATTTCAAAATTTCATCGAGATCAGTTCAGCAGTTTAGGAGATACCTTCAAACAAACATCCATCCATCAAAACATTCGCATTTATAATATTAGTAAGAAGTAATAACCTATCCACAGTCTTCTAGTTTATCATATTATTTAAAATACGCTGCACTAAACAAAACATTTACAGACAATTTTTTCGCCGATCTTTACTTTAGCTGTTAAAAGGTTTTCTCAAACTAAAAAACAAAACAATTCAGCTCCGGTTTAACGAGATTAAGTCGAAGTTGTTAATACTTGGAACATTGGAGGCTTGCCAACTTAGACCTCGGGACTATGTCTCAATTAATGCATGTAAAGTTCAAATTCGAATTGACTTAATTGGACGTCTTTTGGTCGAACAATGGATAGATTTACAATAATCGAGGTCTTCTGTTAATGTACTAGATCCTGCATATGATTTTAGCTTAAAATAACTTTGAAAACTCGAACTTTGGAACATAATTCTCACATTCTTAAATACGTGAAAATTATTTTTACTTAATTTTAGGTTATATTTTTTAACTCTCTATCGCATTTAAGTAACTAGATTCATCTTTTACTTATTCGCTAACAATATATTGCATTTGATTTGTTTTAACGTAACAAAAGAAAACAAATTATTAACTTTTTTTATAATCGAAAAGTACACAATGTTTTCGTACGAATAATTCAGTAGTGGAAAGCCACAGTTAATTCCATCTTATAATCCAAGTCATGTAAAAGACGGCTCTCCCTTTTATTAAAATCTATCTAAAGTACGTAAATATTAGACGTTTAACTAAGTCTGTCTGGAAATTTCCATTTGAGCACTTCATGAAGGAGACTTAAAGGTCCTACGTAGAATTAAATTGTCTAGATGTGTCAACTACAGCAATACAAGTTTGATATTTTCACTTTCATTTAGATATTAAAAGATTTTAGTATTCATTTCGATCTGCATACTAGCAAAAAGGTATTACCTAATCAAATTCAGGAGATTAATAAAAAAGAAAACATATCTTATCTTATATCTTTAAATAAACAATTCTTGTATATATATATTGGAATCTCGGAATCGGCTCCAACGATTTTCATAAAATTTAGTATATAGGGGGTTTCGGGGGCGATAAATCGATCTAGCTAGGAATCATTTTTTACAAAATGTCATTTTGTTCGTGTTTTATCGATAATCAACTTAAACATAAACTTAACTTTTTCTATCGGTAAGATCGAAAAATATTATTCATATTTCATCATTTTATTAATAATTCCAAATAACACAATTAAAAAAAATACCGAGCAAAGCTCGGTATTCCAGGTCCTTTTTTTTTAAATAACCAAAATTTAAGTAGCAAAAAACACACATTAAAACAAATTAAGAAAAAAAACACTACAAGAAAATACTGTGTTTTAATCAACATCCAAAAGGATGTTCTCATTTCATCTGTATCTTTAATTACCTCGTTATATCAAATGTAGCAACAATTACATTTTCAAGATTTAAAAAACATTTTATTAAAATGTGCTGGTCAATTTAACACAAACTTATATATAAATTGCTCCTTCCATTTATTTTACCTCAACGTTTATGATGATCTCACACTTTTCGCACATATTTCTTATCTCGCAGCATAAAAATGGCTTATACTGACAAAGTAACACCACCCCCCTACCTTTTACCCCCTCCCCCTTCCAATATTTCAATCTAATAACACAAGGATTAATTTTCTATATAATGTAGATGCTTTAGTTATGTAATACATAAACAATTAGCTGTCATCCACGACTAACGTCCACGTTTAATTAAAAAAGAAATTAATAAGTAGCCTATGTGTTCTTACAGACTATGTTCTACATCTATGCCAAATTACATATAGATCCATACAGCCATTCTGGAGATATCTTATAACAAACATACATCCATCCAAACTTCGTACACGTGCTGTACATATATGCGTTTTGCTTAACAAATACATTACTCTTTCTGATTTATCATTCGATCCATTGATTAAAAATAAAAATCTATTAAATACTTTTTAAATTTATTACAGACAAACTCTTAGTTTAATCTGTTTAAAAATAAACTTTATTTAGAAGAGAAAACGTAACAACAAAGAAGTTTAAGATCATTCTTTATAACAAAGCAGTGAACAAAGAATCTTACGTGTTGTACGTGCAATAAGAAAACGCATACAAAGTACGAGTCGAGAAGTTCACGTAATGACGCAAGGTTTATTGTCGGTAGTCCTAACTACGGATATACAGAGCTTGTCCAGTGTTGACGACACAGAATATGTCGGCTTATACTGACACGATGTTGGAGTTTTTAATTTAAAAATTCATAAGAAGCGCATTCCCTCTGTGGTCTAGAAATATTATATTATTATTTTGTTAATTTATCGATGGGTTATCGACATTTATCCGTCATTTGCACAGGCGATTTGTTGGCTGCTCTCTACCGACGAACGCTTTGCAATCACTCTTGTCCCTTTCGCCCAACGCAAAATTTACAAGCCTCGCCTTTAAGGTTTAAACGCGAATAATTAACAAGGCTAATTGAAGCATCAAACTGGTACTGACTGCCATGTTTTTTTTAATCAGTGACCAGTTTGTCTTGTGTCGACAGACTATGTACAACAGCGTTAGTAAGTACAGACCTGCAAACACTTATAAACACTCAAAACACGTCGGAGTGTCTGTACCTTCGTGTAGGAGCGCGTATCGCGCATTTCTTTACGGCGTGAGAGCGGCCGCAAGCACTACGTAAGCGAACCAACGACGTCGCCTTTCATACCACTGAAAAAAAATGTGGTACAAGGCAAACGCGAACGCACAAATACCTAGAAGAGATACTAATGTCGGCAGAACGCTGGACAGAAAGAGGCGCCACAGGTCTGTGAATTACAGTCTCATGTATCCATGTTAACCATACCCCTCCCCCTAACCCCAAGAAATAGTAAACAATAGGGGGTGCGGGGGAAATGCCACCATGGTTGCATAAAAATCGGCGTAAAAAGTACTATTAGCTATTTATTCCTTTAGAAATCGATTTGCAAATGAAATCTTCGTTTTCAAACTGATAGAGACCTAAGATCAAGTAATATTCCTTACAAGTATGTGATAATTTAGCGTTTAATTGTTCTTGTAGCAAACCAATTTAAATGCTTTAAACGTTTAAACTGACTATTTCCAAAAATAATTACCGAATTTGAGCTTTAAACAAGACCACTTACTACATTAGTATACGAATATTAAACAATTAAAATGAATGTGAATGAATAAATAATTATTAAAGATATTGCTTCTATATTCAATAAATTAAATATAACCCGGACAATTAATCTCATTTATACTAGCTGTCGCCAGCGACTCCGTCCGCAAGTAATTAAAAAATCTTTATTTCTCTTCTGACAATACCTTCTAATAGACATCCATCCAAACATTCGCATATTAGTAACACTAGTTATTAAATATATTTGTCGCTTTCTCTTCTAACTTATGTTTCGTATATTTTCACATAACCTGAAAGTTGTGTACACGAACTATTCAGCGCGGCAGACAGGGGGACTAATGCGCTTCTACGTACTTACAACTACATTCTGCAACAACATTTATGTTTATACTGCTGCTAGAAATTGAAATATCTTTTTATAACGTACAACAAACATATCTTTATTGTTATGTTACATGTATTTTTATATCAAACAAGCTATAACCCGCGACGTATCCGTGTGAAATTAAAAAGGAACTTTAGTAAGTTATGTGTTCTTCCAGACGATGTTCTCTATGTCGAATTTAATCAAGATTCGGTTAGCAGTTGGGGTGATACCTTTCATCCATACATACATCCAGCATTTATAATATTAGTAAGATAGCTGAAAATAAATAATTTCCGCAAAATCCCATCTAACACTTAGTAAGACTTAAAAGTCAAAGAAATAGATGAAAAAGCTTTACTCTTAAAATATTAAATATACTAACAAACTCAAGCTTGTTTAAGGAAGTTACTTATTGTAAATTTAGAATGAGAAATCTACACTAAGGGGCTTAGTAACCATTAAACATCTCTGAATGTGGCATATAGTCATAGACGTAGTAAAAACTTTTTTATTACGTCTATGCATAGAACAATAACCTCAAAGTTTTCATTGTCTATAGTCTACCATCAAAACTGCATCATAGTTTAATCTATGGTTGTTTACTTTTCATCTAAAGCCCGTTGCACATTTCAAAGATGGCGGCGCGGTTTAAATTGAATACGCGGCGTTAATCTAAAATGTAAGACATTTAAAAGACAGGATCTGGAAATCAATCCCATCTGTCAAATAAAAAAAAAATAACTCTTAACCTTGCTTAATTGTGTACTCGTTTTGTTTGAGTAAGTTTTTGAGTTACTGTAAACGTTTGCAAAGACTTGTCATTTTTACCTCAACTCTGCGAACTAAGTACAACGACAGAAAAGGCAAAGGCTGCAAGTTAATGCTTAGTCCGTTTCTCTATAATCATAGTATAATACAATTGTTCAACGCAGATGTTCTAAGAACAACGTCTTAAACAAACTATGTAGTCAAACGGAACCTTCACAAGGCGACGCCGTCCTGTTTACACATTTCGCGTCAGTTGACTTGGATTAGGTCTTTAAAGGCAAACGTAAACATTTGAACAAAGTGATAGGACGCGTATTTATTTAACACAAGTTTATTGTTTGTAGCTTGTAAGTCAATGTACTGACAGACGTGTTATTTAATGGTATCATATAAATTAAGCTGGTATTGTCTCGTATTTTGATAGTTTTAAGTTGTTTGTTTTAGCTTGATTAAACTTTAATGTAAACGGGAAGTGTTTAAGGACGTATTTTAAACATAGACAATAGTGGAGAAAGTGACAGTGACGTATAAAAGACATATGTTTCGGTATTAAATCGACTTTCGAATGATTGATGCAGAAACTCGTAGTTAAGCTTTTTTAAACTTTACATACAAAGTCAAAATCAATAGATTGGAATTAAACTATTTTACATTCTGCTTGGTACGGAAGGACAATGAAGAAAATTGAGTGCCAGTTTTTTTTTAGATAGAAGAGGGCAAGTGACATCTTAATGTCAAAAACACTGCCCAATAAAACTCCAATACCAATGGAATTGCCCACCCTGCGATCTAAACAAGTATTTATATTAAAATAGGTTTAAATTCTTTTTAAAACGCAGCAAACAAATTACGTGTAATAGTCAGAATTAAAACGGACACCATAAACAAAACGATCAAGAGGTAATAAAAAATCGTTACAATGTTTATGGTAAACGAAACAGATACAAAAAGTTCGTGGAATTATGGTCCTGTTGTTATTCGTCACTGCGAAAGAAAAGCAGACATTTTGTGTATAAATAAAACGGGTACAAATTTCTTTGGAATAAAATAAAAACAGAAACAGAGTCTATCATCTCCCCTGAGGGAGATGATAGACTGAGAATGGCTATTTACTTTTGCTATTCATCCTCTCCCCGGATATATCCAAGATGATTCCTTTTCTAATAGAGAATGGGAAGGAAAAAAGAACTAAAAGGCATTCCGTGTACAATCATGACATGGAAATACTTTTACTTGGAGCGTGCCTTCAATGTGGTCGTTATAGTCATTGATAACTCAACTTAACTTGACTTGCAGATCCGATCAATGTTTGCTTATGGAAAACAGCTCAGTGAACTGATTTGTAGCTGAGCTCAATTTGTAAGCGATGTTAAGCGCGGCATCTTTTATAACGAACAGCACATGCGGTATAGCTCTGTGACTAGCAGGCTGGATGTCGCCTCGTCGGTTACATCGTATTGAGCCGTGAACAACTACTTTATTTCACCCACAGCTCAACGGTTCGAAATTATCTGACTTGATTTTTTGATCCAGATCAATTGATTTACACGCGTCTCTTGGTCGAACCACTTTAAAGTTTTGGTACGTGTGTTTTCTATTGTTAGGAAGAAAATCGAACACTCTGTACTGTCACAACACTAGTCTTATCAAAATATTGACGTCTATGTCCCCTCACTAATGATTCTGACACCTGACTTGGTAATGTAAGCGCGCCATTCGCTCCAAAGGATTGTTATTAATAAATGTCTAAAACCATAGAGAAATTCTAAAGAGTTTCATTTAAAAAATTATCCTTTAGAGCTTTTAAAAAGACATAAATGCGAATATTTGTGACATATTTAAGTATCAAGTATGAAGTTACTTCCCCACAGCTATTTTACTAAGTTGTGTTTTACGACTCTCCCGGGATAGAGTTGCTCGGGTAATCCATTTCTAAGACAATCCCCTTGTCCGCTAAAATAACTTACACTCATTAAATATTTATAACCAACGACAAGTCGGTCATATTTCTCTATTAGTTTGTAAAATGGAAAACATAAGCTATTTCCTAAAGAAGACGGCAATATTTTCCCGCGTAGTTTTGAAATAACAATTAATCAGATCTGTCAAAAAGTCTATTTTTGAAGTCAGAGAATCAGATTAAAAATAAATATCTACTTCTATGTGCAATTATTTGCGATTTTAGTATTGTGACGTGATATAAATCATATTATTTGTGGAGTTGAAATGAATTAAATAAAAATTCATGGTCTGCCTATCGCTCTGATAGACTATGATATATTAATTTTTATTTACGTCAATCAACATAGTAAAGATAATGACATTTACAATATCCTGATGGTCATTATAAGAAGAGATTTCCTTGAAATTCGCACAATACAGTCTCGCAAAAACAACCCCCAACATCGGCCTGTTTGACATTTAAAGCCGCCAACACAAGCGAACCGTGACTAAAAGGGGTGGCCCTTTTGTGATCCTTTTAATTCCGACCCCCCTCAGCTACGGAACCTTATTAACATCAAATTGCGACGACAAATTAACAATACACGGCCCCGAAACATTTCCACGGATAATTTCGCTTCAATTATTCTGTCAACCCTTTTTTATATGTAGTACCTATGTTTAATTACTTTATTAAAGTTTGGTTTTATACTTCATTTTGTTTGAGGACTTTATTTTATTTTCTTATTCATTGAAGGGTAGATTTTCATGGATGTCTGTTTCATTAGACCTCTATTCTTTCCATAATGTCGTAGACGATTACGGAAAGAACGACGAAATCGGGTTATTATTTTTTTATTCACTTAATATCTTTAATTCACTGCCGAATCTTACTAATATTAGAAATGCAAATGTTTGGATGTATAGATGGATGTTTGTTCGTAGGTATCTCCAGATCTCTATGAAATTTGGCACAAATGTACAAATTAATTTGGAAGAACACGTAGGCTTCTAATTTTTTTATACCATGCGGACAAAGCCGCGGGCGAAAGCTAGTAAAACATATGTTTGAAATTCTTAGTTTTTCAAAGAGAAAAAACAGACGGTCGTGATTTTATATTTAGGTAGTAAAAATTTAATGAAAGCATACAAAATAAAACAAAAAAGGTTAGATTTTTATTTTTTTATCTATGACATTTTCAGTACAAAGATTGCACAAAGACATACACATGCACAGTGACATTTTAGCCTTAGTCCTGTCATTTAATCACACACAACATATTATGCAACAAAAACATTCGCTTAACAATTAAGAAAAAATAAAAGTATGAAGAAAATTTCAACAATACAATACTTTGATAGCTATAAAATTGTCTCTGGATTATTGTTAATTAATATTATTGTATTAAATTTCAAATTCAAAGACAATTAATCAAGAATAGTAATAACTTAAGCAATCAAATATTTCTATAGCTTATTCAAAATCAACAACTATTCAAAAAAACACCACACAAACTTTATAAATTAACAACAAAAAAATTTTGTATGGTTTCACACAACAACCATACAAAACCCACACACTAAAGTTTTTTTCTTCACAAAATTAAAATTTACAAATATTATCTTGTAACTGTACCAATTAAGCTCTAGGTTTGTATAAATATGCTTTATAACAATAATCAAATGGTGGATTTAACCCACAACCATGTATCTGGTCAGCATTGAATAGGGCCGTCCAGGGCACCGGACATAAGAGGGCGGTTAGATTAAGATATAAATGGATCCCCTGTGTTGCCCGCTAAGACCCTATATCCTTTCTTTTTATTTCTTATAAGAGAAGGGGGAAACCAGCAGCATGAACACCGAGGTGTTCATCTATGCCCATCTATGTAGACTGTAGCCTATCTTTGAGTCTCAGTAATCTTTTATACATGCTGATTTTGTTCACTGGAAAACTGCACTTGGGTTCTTCTTCCTATAAAAATGAAATTAATTATTTTTAATTAAATTTAAATAAGTCTACATACAATTGCTCTGATTGTCATCATCATCAGTTCACTACATATCCCCACCAAGGGGCTTGGAGCCTACCCTAATTTAGGGATGACTAGGCCATAGTCAACCACGCTGGCCAAGTGCGGGTTGGTTGACTTCATATATATCTTTGAATTTCTTCTCAAATATGAGCAGGTTGCATCACAATGTCTAACTTCACTGTAACAATGTCGGATAAATGTACATATGTAAGCAGAAATCGAAAAACACATTGGTACATGGGGGAATTCAAACCCAGGACCTGCAGATTGCAAGTCAAGTGCTTGACCCTGAGCCACCGATGCTGTGATTATACTTTGACCTAATTTGCATTGAAAGACTGATCTAGTAATATTTTTCTAAGGATTAAATATAACTTACATGAGGAAAAAAGTTGTACTCCACAAGAATAATCTCAAAGAATGTAGATGCTACTATCAAAGGTCCATTTTTCCTTTCACAAACATCCAATTGCACAGCAAATTTTCCTTCAGGAAAAATTGTCAATGTCTCAAATATAGGTCTAGACATTCTTCCTTTTTTTTGACTAGATAAACGGTACAATAGTAACTCACCAGCTCTTGTTGCTATAAGGACTATATCCGCGTAAAAAAATAAAGCTGTTATCGGTGGAAATTCTAAATATAAATGATGATACAGATCTGTATCCAATTTAAATATGTGACGAGAATAACAGACAAAATTACGGTCATTTATTGCATAAATATTCCTCAAATGCTTTACCCATTCTATCGGACAGTTTATCAACTTTTCAGATATATTGTCTTTAGTGATATTTATAATTCTGCCACATGTTGTGAACAAATGTAGTATCCTACCACAATATTGGATTTCTTTTATACTATAGTTGCAATGTAATAGCAAATTTGATGATAAATTTGGTGATGTCAAATCACATTTATATACATCTCTACTTTTATAATAATACAATTCATCTCCGGCAAGCACAAAATTATCTGCCTTAAAAAACTCTTCTGTGGTATTATTGGAATCAACACATTTTTGTACATATAATCCTGATTTTGTAAGAATAACTGTTATATTATCGTTATTAGCTATTTTACTGCAAGTTACATCAGAAATTGCAACAGGAATGTACTTGAGTGTACTTATATCGTAGAAAACAACGCCCCTTGCGTCCTTCAACGGTAACACTCCATAATCAATTTCGAGTACGTGTGATTTATCGTGTAGAGAAAATTTGTAAAATTCCCGCACTTTTTTATCATATTTTGTAATATTCAGCCATAATTTAAGGTTCTTATACACATGATACCATCGGCAATCGTTCCCAGCTTTTCGCTTAGCTATTTGAGAGGAATATTTGAATTCTTTTCGACACATTTCATGCCATATTTGATCGCTTCCATCGATTGAATCTCTCCATCTTTTACACACTCTTCTGCATTTCCCAACAGATATACCATCGATTTTTATTAAAATTTCAATAAATATTTCTAATGGTAAATCGTTTATTTGGATTTTCTCCTCCATTTAAACGTCTTGCTACTTTACGTAACTTATTTTAGCATCTGTAAGAGAAACAAATAATAAATAAAGAAAAACCAATCGAAATACAAGTACAATTTAAAATCATGTTACCTAAAAACCTTTTGAAAAATTATAAAAAAAAATGTAAACAAATAAAAGGTCTTGTGACTTGACCACAGACAAATCCATTTTGACAATTGACATTTTAAACAACTACCATAGATAAAGAAAGCGATGAAAATCAATATGTAAGAAAAATATTATGCATATTTCATAACTATTTGTGGATGTTGTATGTATTTGTAAATAATTTTATGGAGAATTGTTACTGCAGACCAAATCTATACGATATATAGATTAGATCTTTGTTTCATTCCCTTGTTTTCTAACTATAATCCGTCCAGTCCTTCCCTTACTATTGGAAGTCGTAACGGAACGCTTAGACCTTCAATTTTTGACGTTTTAGTCACTGTACCGTATTGCACTATATTGAACTTTAAGCTTAAGATAAATAAGCTTACCATTCGTTATTTTTTCTCTTCTCGCCCTTTGATATAGAAAAAAATAAAAGCCTAAATATTACAATAAGATCTTTAATATGCACTTACTACTATTACAATTACTACACACATAATTATGAAGCCGTCCTACAAAGCAGCGTAAAAATATAACAATGACTTGTTGGAAAAACTTCCTTAGTAAATAGTAATAGAAGGTCTATTTTTCCGTAAAAGTATGCATAATATTAAAAAGTTAATATTATTAAAATAATAAAGAAAACAATATACAATAAAATACTCTTAAATGATAATGATAAATAAGTCTTTTAAATCAGGAAAGCCATTGAGGCTGCAGATCACAACGAAACAAAAATACATACACATTTTATATGGGCGTGGCCGAAGGAAGGAAGCAGCTACCTTGATCATCGGTTGGCGACGCCCTTGACAATTTATAAGTATGTATATTATCAAATATAGGCTTCCTCGCAAAGCACTAAATTACATATATCTAAGCTAGAACTAGTAGTCTAAGATAAAAAATGAATTTGTTATAAGTTAGGTTAAACATTTATATGGTAGTTAAATAGACAGATACAACCCAGATTTATTTATCATATTGCATAGATTTTAGCCAAAAATGTTACATACACCACTTTAACTCCAAGTTAGGGATATAATAAAATATGTACATTTATAAATCCTCCATTACTGGAGGTTGACCGGCAGCTCAGCAAATCCATCCCCGTCCTGTGCCAAGCAAAAAAGTTATTCAACTTTGGCAATATGGTCCATTCCCTGATGTTTTTTTACCATGTCTTTCTTTTCCTTCCAACTCATCTTCTGCCTACGATTTTGTCCATCATCATGACTTAAAGAAGTTCATCACTACACACACAATACATAGTGACAAGAATCTAAACTACATGACATTACAACATTTAAGACAAAGTATTAAAAATGTTTTCAGATTTCTTAGCGACACTTAAGAGTTGCTGCGTAGAACACAATGTTTGATGTAATGCGATGCGGGGAGAGACTACCTTTATGACCTTGGCCCGCCAAGATATTAATTGCATTTTACATTATAAATTAAAAATAATAAAATATTTCCGATAAAACACATTTCTGACACAACTATGTAACATTTACTCTTATTTAGAATATGACTTGATTTTATCTCACAATTATACAAAATAATTTTTTAAAATTTAATATTGTAACGATTTGACAAAGTAAATTAAAAAAATTAATATCGTAATGGCCACTGTACAGAATTTAATGTGTCTCTGTTGGCGTTGGATTTAACGTAAGTTTCTGAAACCGATATTTCCATTTAAAACATAATGTTATCTCTGTTTTGTCAAAGATAATAACGCAATGTGGTCTTCGATTAATGACAATATATTTTATACAAAGATTTTGGTCTCAGAAACTCACGGTTAGAATTGTAGCGGTCAGTCTATCTTTGTTTATGCCTCTTCATCAAGTTTTTTAGCATACTTAGACTTCATCCTTTCTTGAATTCTTTGCAACCTTTTTAGTATATCGTTTTTTTCCTTCGACATACCTTTGGGTTTATCTTCCTGTAAGAGACAAGAAAATTATAAAATACATTATATCTTACTAATATTTTAAATTCAAAATATTAGATGGTTCGATGGATGGATGTTTGTTAAAAAGTATCTCCTGAACAGCTAAATGGACCTTGCTGGTATTTGGAATAGTAATGTAGAACATAGTCTGGAAGAACACACAGACAATGTATTGAGTTGTTTTAGTAATAAAATTTGCAGGAAATAGCTTTTCCTTCTTGAATTATAATCATTCTTCCCTTTTTCACACAGAAATATTATTTCCTTAATATTTGATTTAGTTACTTACATGCAGCAACAAGTTATACTCCACCAATATAACATCTCTTACTGTAAATATAACAATAAGAGGTCCACATTTCCTTTCACAAACACAAATTTTAACTGCATATTTGCGACTCGGCAGTTGTGCTATCTTTTCAAATTGTTGTTCACGAACTGAATCCTTTAATTGTGACATCCGAGATAACAATATTTGTCCACTTTTTCTTCCAATAATGATAATATCAGCATAGAAGCACACTGCGCTAATTTGTGGACCCGATGCGAACATGGAAAACATTGTCTGCATGTTAGTTTTATGCATATTATGAGAATATGAGATGATATTGTATTTATTCACAGAGTGAACATCACACAAATAGTGTAGCCATTTAACAGGGGCATTTATCTTTGTTTCTGTGACCTCGTTATCATTGGTAATACTTATAGCTTTGTGGCATATAGTAAATAAATATAACACATTGTCACAGTATACTATCTCTTTGAATACATATTTGCGACTAATTATTAACTTTGGTGTAATCGTCTCCGATGTAAGATCACATTGGAATACATCTTTGTTGTTGTAAAAGTATAATTGTTTATCACACAATACAAAATTCTCCGCCTCAAACAATTCTTCTGTTGGATTAGAAGAATCAGGGGATTTTTGTACATACAACTTGTTCTTTGTCAAGTAAACAGTCACAATATCATTATGGGAAATTTTTTTACATTCAATATCTTTGATTACTATTGGCATGACCTCAAGGGTGGCTAAATCGTAGAAAGATACATCACTGTATATTTTCACTGGGAGTACACCATAATCAGGAACAATAATTGGTTCAAATTCAGAACAAACCATTGAACAAAGCACATGTATATTGTACTCATATTCTTTTATATTTGACCAAACTGCTAGGTTCAAATATACATGACACCATTCGATCTCACCTTTGGCTCTACTTTTGATCAATGGAGTCAAAGGTTCGAATTCAATTTCACAAATTTTACCCCATATTATCTCATTTTCATCAATAATATTTTTCCATTTTTTACAAACGCTTCGGCACGTTACAACTGTCCCTATATCCGTTCTTACTAGTATTTCCAAAAATATTTCTAATGGTAAATCATTTATTCTCATTTCTTTAGCCATTTTGAAATGAAAAATAATAAAGTGTTACGAATGCCTACAAGTAATTAATATCACTTATAAGTAATTTAGAAAAGTCAAAAATACTTGGAAACAACTTGAAAATCACATATCACATTATTTTAAATCATTGAAAGCAAATGCGCACTATATTAAATATCAATCAATATCAAATTGAAACTTCATAATCGATTTTCTTTTGGAGCGTCAAAATGACAGATGACACTGACTGACCTCTATAGACATGGAAAGGTTGCTTTTTGGAAATTACAGCTTTTATTTGTTCCGACTTAAAAGTGACTGTTAAATCTAAAAATCTAAATCTAGTTAAATCTATTCTTTTCAATCAAAGCATACCTAAATCAAATTTATAACATACAATATAAAATTCTAAAACTAATAACACCTGCTAAAATAAAAGAGAACTGTTCCAAAGATCCTCTAAAACTATTTAAACATTGTAAAGTAATTCCAATACATAAAAAAGTAGAATATAACTTATTAGTAGAACAATATTTTCGGACTGAAATTCAAATCCCAATTAATCATAAACTTACAACTAGAAGCGTAACAAATAAAAAATTGTCGACCCACGATTATATCAACGTCTATGGTTAGCGTACGTCAGAATATATAATCCCAACATTAATAAATAATTTACCTACTGATATAAAAAATAATATAAACAACAAAAACATAAAAAATTACTTAAAAATCATTATCTAAAATCCTAAGTCTAATACATTCATAACGCGTTTGTACATCCTGTATATGACGGTATGAGCGAGCTCACTAATTTGCTGTAAACAAAAAAAAAATGTAACTAACCTACCGTTTCATAGCGTAGTACCAAAGTTTCTAGACAAACCCGCAATGGGTTTATAGACACTTTTATTGTAAATTTGTATCTTATTCCTTGTTTATATAAATAAATAAAAAAAAAAAAGTGAGGCTGTAGGGGAAAATATACCAAATAATAATTTTTACTTCTTGATAAGGAAGTTCTTAGAAATTTTGCAGATTTATTTTTTTATGGTAGCATTTTAGAATCTTGATGACGGGCAATAACCAAAGAGTATATAAAATAACTATGATAATTACATGCCATGGTACTCTTGATACGGTTACGTATCAATTTTAGTTGAAACTTATAATGATCTAAAATTTCAAGAAAACAGCCAAAGAACTTGTACTTTTTTTACTTAAAGTACGAATGTTTTATTTTTAACTGTAATTAATTTCACTTCTAAACGAAGAATTGAATATTTTTAATTTTTCCTATGTAGTTATCGCCCTGGCTACACCGGTACTAAATTATCGTTGAATTTTTTGGACATGTTGTATAAAGGATAACCTGCAGATCAGTTCGGTTCACTTGTGGGAAATAGATCAGTAAACCGATTTACACTTCAGTAAAATTTGTACCTGCATTATTATTTGTGTTTCGCGCTGAGCTGCCAGTCATCGGTTAGTATGAGATAATTTGTTACGATAGAAAATTCTATCAAATATTCCTAGTGCCGAAACGAACGTTGACAATTCCGTTATTTAAAAAAAATAGTTTTTCATTTTTGCTGATCATTAGTGATGGTATAAAAAAAACAAAGATGCCAACAAACAAATTTTATTTTATTCATGAACTTTTTTATTTGGATATAGAATTATAAACATTTAGATTTAATTATTTATTTTGCGGTAACAGATTTTTAACATTAAGTACATTTACTAGTCCATAATATATTAAAAAAGACACTACCGTATACTGAAAATATAAAAAATTTAACAAATTAATTTAATATCAAGGGGAATGATTTAAAATAATTATAAATACGATTTAACAATAAATTACAACATGGAACAACGCTTAGAAATGCAGCTGTTGAGTTAATATCATAATTTGAAATTATAAATTATAAAAAAACTTTTTAATAAAACTATATAACAAGATACAAACCGACAAGGATAACTGAACCGGTGGGTATAAGACTAACTAAATTGTGCCAGTTCACTAGCGCCCCTGTCAACGTCAAAAGGTCCTCTTTGTACTGTAGCTGTCATGTGATTTTTTTTTCTTTTACATCAATTCCTATGTCTAAGTAGGTTTTATATATATTCTGACGTAACCAAGCGCGATAGCAGCGCCTCTTATCGGTTCAGATATCCTTGTTTGACTATGTTTAATTTGAGATATTTCTATATTTATACATTGTAATGTGATGATTATTATAATAATATAGGGTTGCCATTTGTAATATACCGAAATTATTTTTTTTATTTATGAATGTATCATAACATTGTACCAAATAGACATGTTCATGATTAAATTATATAGATATATATGCAACAATTGTACATCTTATATGTTGTTGTAATTTTAAATATATTAGAATAAAAATAAAACTTAACTTCATAATAATTTCTATAAAGTCCCCTTCGTTGTTTAAAAAAATGCATTAAGGAATTATTTTGTATAATTGAGCTAAAAGTTAAAAAAAATCCGATTCTACTTAATCTATTATGTATTAAGACAAGTATGTAACAAATGTGACAGTTTACTTAGTTACTATATAAAATTGTGAATTATACTTAAAATAATAGTAAAGCTTAATTTTTATTTTTTTTCAATCAATGTCATATTTCTGATTATTTTAAAACAGCTAAGAACTTTTTATAGTATAATGGTCAAAAATATAACAAAACTAAACTGCCATACACCAATAACTAGTAGACTAGAAAACAAAAAAAAATATTTAAAAAAAAATAAAATTCGCATCCTGAAATTACAAAATTACGTCAAATAAATATTCAATCTTAAAACTATTCACAAAGTATAAATGCAATACTACTGGTGCAAAAAGAATTTAACTCGCATATTTCCTCTTCCTATACGTCCCTTCCCTTCCCCACTTCCACAAGTATGGGAAAGGGAAGTTAAACTTGCCTCTGGCATTAGTTACATTGGATGTTTACCGTTAGCCTAATCGGCTTAAAAATCCATAAAATAATAGGAATTATATTAATAGATTTTTTTATTCTATGATCTCAATCGGCGCAATGGTATAAATCACATTGGGCCGATTGAATCGGCTGAACGAGAATCATCCTTTGAATTTGAACTATCTATATTATATTCATTTATTACATTAATAGATTAAAAAGAAACGTTTAGAAAGGGAACATATTTAGTTCTACACCACCCTAACTATGTTTCTTCTACAGTGACACATATTGACATCCCTTTCATTCACTTCGAAAGAACAGAGACATGTCAATGTATCATTACAGGCTAAATCTACATTTACAGTGGGTTTCTGATACCAAAATCTCCGTATAAAACATAATATTATCTCTGTTTTGTCAAAGATAATGACAGGGATGATGATATGTTTTATACAGAGATTTTGGTGTCAGAAACCAAGAGTTAGACGTGAGACCAACACAATTATCTGACCCGGTGGGCATTAAACTAAATTATGATACCTCACTAGCGCCCTTCTGTCAATGTAATTAAATGTCAAGATCCTTTTCGTATTGTTTGTCATGTTTTTTAAGTCATTTTCTATAGCTAAGTAGGTTTTATATATTTTCTGACAGAACCGCGACAGCAGCGCCTCTCACCGGGACAGATTTTTTGACTAAAAACTGCTTAAAATGAGATCTAAACATAGGAACAAACTATAAAGTATTAAAATGAAACCATTGTCCATATCCCGTGGAAAAATCACCCTTAACACAAAGTTCTAAGTATCATTTTAGCTTATCAACTATTATTGAGTATATTTGATAACACAAGCATAGCAAAACTGCCCATTATGTACAAAGTTGCTGGAATCGAAGCCAGTAGTTTGTATCTCTCTTCTGTAAAAGAAAAAAAAAATATTTATAATTCGATTAAACATTTTTTAGGTTATTTTTTAATATAGTCATAAAACAAAACTTACTGGTATGAAAAATTAACTGATTTCGAAAAAAAAAACAGCTTTTAATATAAACACTATATTACATCGTATTAACGATATATTTAGTAAAAAAAACGTCTTTTTTTGTGTCCTCTTATTTCCTCGCTTATGAATTTAAAAAATAATCTTCTTGATAATTACTTTACGTTTTCTGTACACTATTAACATAATTTAAATTACATTATTTCTAAAAAAAAAATAAAAAATCAATTGCAGTGCAGAAACGGTAACTATTCTATTATAAATTAAAGACATTTTGTGCTCAAAATAATATTTTTATTTAGATATTTAATAATTATATCTTAACATATAAAAAAATAAGAACTATTGTTTTGAAACAAAAAAAAAACTTGCCGTTATAAACCTACACAAAAACATATTTTAATCTCTATAGATTAATACACTATTATATAAATGTTTCGGCAGAAAGTGGCAGCCCATGAAAAACAATCAATATGACATTAAAGCTAATGTTGCCAGGGGAAAAAAATAATTACATTTTTTTAAAGATTTAAATAAATAATAATAAATTTAAGTACACGTAAAATACAAATTCCAATTAAATAAAATAATCCGTAATACATATAAAAATGAAGGAAACAATTAAATTTCTATTTTTTTTTTGTCTTTATGGGTCTCGGATGGAATGCCTATATGTAATCATATTATATTTAACGATATATATTTCTCATCAATGTTATATTCGATTTGATGGAAAAAAATAGTCTTTTTGTCAAAACATACTTAAAAGCAAAATAACTCTCTTGACGACAATTCTCCAAATATTAATATAAATTTCATGAAAGATTTAATCTCAAATGTAGGTTTAACAGCTGTCAAAATTAGCCTCTCAACTGTCAAAAAGCCTGACAACTATCGTTCTTTATTAAGTCTGTAGTTTAAGATGAATAAAGTCAAGCATTTACCAATAATTTTCGAAGTACATGCCGACATAATCAAGTTATTTTTGTTACATAAGCGTCGTATGCGATAGCTTATTACATATGTGCGTGAATACTTCAGGGATTTTACAAGCCGGTCTATTCAAATCTACTCCATTAGCAAAACTACTCGGAAAAGCGTTCGGATCTACGACAATCGGATTATCATCACTGTCAAATATAATCTCTGGATCATTCTCTATGATCTCCTCTATTGTCTCCCAATTTGTCAGCTTTTTCTTTGGCTGGCAACACTGACACATGCCATAGTCGCATTCCTTTTTACTCATAAAATATTCCGCGTCATCTAAAATTGTCACTTCCTCGTTTTGTACAGGTACAAAAACGGAAAATTTACGTGCGGAAAATTTTATTAACTCTTGAACAGAGTTATCGACGCCTTCATCTTTGATCGGATTGCCCAGTCTATCGTAGTCTATGCTCAGACCATCGACGAGAGAGGCTTTGCGGCTCTGTGGCGGGGAGGAGGGGACGTCGGAGCTGTGATTAAGTGTTACCATACTAGATTTTCGTTTAGCCTGACCTGTCATCGCGATGGATTTTTTGGTAGTCGCCCAGCCCAGAGAGCGCTGCACCGCCATCTTCCATTTTGTATATCTCGCGTCACGATCTGAAAAAAAAACAATAAATCCTATAATTACAGTAATTATTACTTTCTGTTTAATTTAAAAAAACAAAATAGACTGACTGAGAATGTCTAGTACTCTGATGAAGTATAAGCGCCATCTAGTGGCTGCATTTAGTAACAGAGATTTAAATTTTTCTTAAATTTAAACTAAAAAATCTGTAATGTTGTAACACTTTCATATATTATTTTAGAATATGGTCCAAAATATTTAAAAAGACAATAAAAAAAGTTACATAGAGCAAGATTTGAATTTGCAGGTCCTGGGTTCGAATCCCGCCATGTACCAATGTGTTTTTCGATTTCCGATTTACATATAATATGTACATTTATCCGACGTTCATACGGTAAAGGAAAACATCGTGATGCAACCTGCACATATATGAGAAGAAATTCAAAGATCTGTGTGAAGTCAACCAACCCGCACTTGGCCAGCAAAGTTGACTATGGCCTAGTTACCCTTAACTTAGGGTAGGCTTCGAACCCCTGAATGGAGACGTATAGTGAGGTGATGATGTCTAGTCACTGACCGTCATCCGTGGTGGTGGGCAGGAAGGTGTCATTGGGTGTGGCATGATGTCGCCACTGGTCCACTGCCCACACTCCGGTCGCGTGTCCGGCGCACACCGCCGCGCCCAGCGCTGACATGTCCCACGTGTGGGCACGCACTGAACATCATACATTTATGTTTATACAGCTGTCTCATACAGATTCATTCATATTTCATTAGAGAGAGAGAGACAGAGAGAGTGAGAGAAAGAGAGAGGGACAAGGATGGAAATTTTAACTTATTTCGTTAGTCTATAATCTAGAAATTAATCTAAATATCTAATACAAAAACGTCGATATCTGGTAAATATACGAAAACCCATTTCATTTAATTAATAGTATAATTAATTTAATTTCTAGAATTCATATAATCTACCAAATTCTACCAAAATCTACCATTTTTTACCCTAATCTACCAAATATAAATTGCTACCGAGTGTATGATATGCAATACTAACAGACAGGTATGCCGATGAGGTCTGCCTGCAGCTGCATGAGGAGATGGTTGGCAGCCATCTTGCCGTCCACGTGCAGCTTGCCCAGCGGCATGCCGCAGTCCTTGTTCATTGCTTCCAGGATATCCCTAGAAAATAAAACATTCAAGCTAATTTATCGTCGGTTTCTGAGATTAAAATCTATTTGCGATATTATTATCTCTGTTTCATCACAGATGAAATAGATGATGATTTTGGTTTCAGAAATCAACGATTAAGTTATGACTGTTTTTATACATTTTATTTCATACTCAAAGATACGACATAAGCACATAAAAAAAAGTGTCTTGACAAACAGACGGACAAACAATAAAGTGATCTTATAAGGGTTCTGTTTTTTTATTACATATTTTTTCAATTGTGGTTATAAGGTTTTTTGGTACCGTATGTCCAATATAAAATAATTTTTTATGTTTATTTTTTTGATCCTATATATATATACATTTTTTTACAATTAAAAAAAAATATGATAATGTTACCTAGTCTGGAAGCAGACAGCTTCCAAAGCCGCTCTGATGATGTGGTTCTTTGTGGTAAAAGCTGTCAACCCACAGATTATCCTGCAAAGTAAATAGAAAATATTAAAATCCTCAAAGATAACATATTTCATAATATACCGTGAATTTTAAAAATATTTATTATTAAAATCATAAATTCCAAAGTTCAAATGGAATGGATGGATGGATGAATGTATGGAATTTATTAGAAAGTATCTACAAAACGAGCAAACAGACTGGTGAAATTTGGTATAGATATAGAACATAATATAGAAGAAATTTTTTTTGCGCGGACAAAATCGCGGGCTGAAGCTATATATTCATACAGGTTATTAAGATATAAATTTTATTAAGAAAAATTCTGATCTAATGGGGTTGTTAGACATGAAGAGTATAAAGCAGAGTAAAGTATTGACCCCCGGGCATCCTTTCTCCAGTAGGGCGCGTAGAGTCCGCTGAAGGCGGGCACGAAGTACACGTCCCCGGTGGAGAAGACCTGTCCCGCCACCAGCTCCGTGTCGCGCGCCACGTCCCGCACCAGCCCCAGGTTGTCTCGCAGGAACTTCATCGCGCCCCCCGCCACCGCTATTGATCCTGAATCACATTTACACCATTACACCCTCTCTATACAAACAAGTCTAATGTACACTCAGGGAGAATGGTGGTGTTTCACTTTTAAAGGTCACAGTCGTGTGAACGTGTTGTACAACGCAGAGGGACTTTGTGCATAAAATAGTCAGTTACAATACAAATTATTACTATTATCCAGTGATTTGCGCAACTCTCTGCTACCTGGGGCAAAATCTGTATCGTTGCAAGAAACAATTTATTCATTCTGTAACTCAAACACCGCGGATTTCCTCGACTGTACATGTTTTTTACCATATTACTCCATAACCACTTAATAGATTTTAATAAAATTTGGTACATAGATAGCTCACATTCTGGACAACACATACGACAATTATTTTTTTTTAAATGAGGATACCATACCTTCCAAAGCATAGACCGGTGGTGCATTAGGACCGAGCTTGTATGCGAGGGTGGTGATGAGGCCGTGCGTGGAGTGTACGCGGCGTGTGCCGGTGTTGTACAGCAGGAAGCAGCCGCTGCGGTACGTGTTCTTGGCCTGGCCAGCCTGCAGGCAGTTCTGACCCACCAGCGCCGCTTGCTGGTTGCCCAGGATCTATACAATACAATTATTATCATTATTAATATTTTTCTTCATAAAAATTGATAATTTCATCGCACAAATAAAATTAATAATTTTGACAATTTTCTCTCACTCAAACGATGTTAGGTACATCTTACTAATATTATAAATACGAATGGATGTATGGATGGATGTTTATTAGAAGGTATCACCAAAACGACTAAACAGATCTCGCTGTAATTTAGCATAGATGTAGAACATAGTCTGGAAGTACACATAAACTACTTATTAAGTTTATTTTTTATTTTACGCGGACGGTTACACGGGTTATAGCTAGTTATATAATAAATAAAATAATATATAGAATATCTTACTCCTGATATTCCAATGCCATCCAAAATAGAGCCATCTTTGACAACACCATACAACTCTGAACTGCTCCGTATCTGTGGTAGAGATTCTCTGTGTATACCGAATAACCTGCAATTTATATAAATAAACATTTATTTTATTTATTACTATAAACAAACGATATATTCATATATATATGTTCCAAATTAAAAAAAATACAGTTTGAAAAATTTAGTATTTTTTTTTATTTTATCATCGCTAAATATTTGAAACCAATTTTTACTGACTTTATCTAAAAAAATATATTTAATATTTGTTTGTTCGCATTTTAATAACCTTTAAACTATTGAATCAAATTGAAAAATTCTGTCACTATTGGTAAGCTACACTACCGGGTGACATAGGCTAGATTTTTTACTAAATTTTTAATTTCTCGCAAATGAAGTCACGGACAACTGTTTATATGTTACATAACGTTATAATGTCAAAAAAAAATATATTTTTATAAAATGATTTTATTTCTTAATTATTTTAAAACATAAGTCATTTGAAACTTACCTACAGAGCATAGGGTCCCAATTCAATGTGTCGAGGTCCATTAATAAAGTTCTAGACGCGTTTGTCACATCCGTTATATGTAACCCACCTTGGGGACCTCCAGTTAAGTTCTGAAACATAATAAAAAAACATAAAATAAAAAAAAGAAAGTCTAAAAGACCTTACTAATATTATAAATGGAATTTTTTGGGTGTATGTATGGATGGATGGATGTTTCTTAGAAGATATCTCCAGAACTGCTGCACGAATCTCGGTGAAATTTGGTATAGATGTAGAACATAGTCTACAAGAACACATAGGGCTACTAATTCTTTTTTTTAATTCCGCTAGGACGGAATACGCTATAAGCTAGATTCCCACACAAACTCACCCAAACAATCCAAGAATCGACAGTTCCGAATAACAATCGTTTATCCCGACTTGCCCGTCTCACTGATTTTATATTATCTTTCAACCATCGCATCTTGAGAGCACTAAAATAAGGGCTAATAGGTAATCCGCTGATATTTTTTAGATAGTTCTTATTTCTATCTGGTAACTTAGCTAGTATAGCATCAACTGTACTGTCTGTCCGTATATCATTCCACGCTGAAAGAAACATCAATATTAAAGTCTTGAGTTCTATTATTTTAATATATTTTTTAAATTCTAATACTAATATAAAAAAGAAGCAATTTGTTCATTTGCAATAAAGCTCCGAAAATACTGAACCTATTTGAAAAATTCTTTCACTGTTGTGAAAAAATCTAGCCTATGTCACCCGGTAGCTACAGTACCGGGTGACATAGGCTAGATTTTTTTTTCAATTCCGCGGGGATGAAAAAAAAAAAAAAATTAAGTGTTTAATTTTTTTCTTTTGGTCTTTTTTAATATTACCTATAGCAGGATGTAGAGGCTCTCCAGTATATTTGTCCCACGCTATCGTTGTCTCTCTCTGATTAGTTATACCTAATGTTACTATATCTTCTTTAGAGTATCCTAGAAAGAGAACAAACATACAATCAATATTATTTTTAATATTATAAGTAGGGAAGATTTTATTATCTGCATTGAACAGACTGTAGAATTGAACCGATTTGGAAAATTCTTTTACAATTTACCAATTGCTATACTAACGGGTGACATAGGCTAGATTTATAACTAGATTTTTTTCATTCTAAATAATGTCAGCGATCGATTTTACTAGGCATATTATAAAATGCTGGCTAATTGTTAATTTAATCATTGATATTTCAACCTGTTATTTTGATAGTTAAATTATAAACTAAAATTTTGTTTCTAAAAACATCTGAAATCAACCCAAACTGAGCCTGGTGGCCTGTGGTTGACTATGGCCTAGTCACCCCTTTCATAGGGTACGCTCCAAGACCCTCAGTGGGTATATAGTGAGCTGATGATGATGCAGTATGGTATGTTTAACACGACAAAAGTCAATCTGTTAGTCCGATTAGAAGTTGTCAAAATTCCTATTTTACTGGTGACATGAACTTACCTAACTCAGTCAATTGTCCTATAGCGTTATCAGCGCATGTTTTGATGTGGTTTAATATCTCCATAGGATCCTGTTCGTACCATCCTTCTTGTGGTTGTACTTCTGTTTTGTCTATCTGATAAGCGGTCAACTCTTCCGAACGTTCCGCCTCGAATATCTTAAAAAGTTTAAGCACTATCAGTAAAATCAAGAAAATAGAACGATATGGACTGCAAAAAGCTGGGGACCCTATCACGAAAATACGTGAGAAGGTATTCGTAACTTCTTCGACAAAATTTGTTTAAATCCAATAGGGGCGCTGTACAAATTGCATTTGTAGCAAAAGATTAGTTAAGAAGCTATATACAGCATCAAACTATAGTAAATAAAAAATAAAATAGGCATTTTGACGATGACTTTACGAACACTGTCTCGCTAATTTTCATGCTATTGTTTAAAAAAAAAAGTTTATATGTATTAATGTATCACACTGGCCACTAAATATCAGGAAGAAGAAAACATTGACGCTGTGAAAGATAAGAAAAAATCACAGGTGATCGTGCGATATATTACGCAAAAAACGTACAACACGACATAAATTACTTTAACAAACAAAAACAAGGACATTGTATAGAAAAAGTTAACTTAGCAGTATGTTATCATGAGTCTGCCTTTTTATATCTACTATGTATATACCTATATTTTATTATAAGACGGCAAACGAGCAAGCGGACTTGAATTTGCTAAAACAGTGAAATATCCTCTAACCATAAACATCCGCAAATACAGTTATGGCCTAATTTAAAAGGTAGAAGAGAGCCTTTCAAAAAGAGGATTCCTATACGTCCTCTTCTCTGTCAAAAACATCTCCCCTTCCCATCCTTTATAAGAAATAGGTGGTAAGAAGACAGACTTATTCGCACTTATCGAGTGTCTTCCGTTTTTATTCTACGACTTAGTTGAAAGAAAAACATACCACAAATCTGACTGTCTTGGTGCCATCATCGATGACACCCACCAATGACTTCTTCAACCCGTCCTTAACAGGCATATCGACTTCTGGAAATAAATATAAACAACTTTTAAAATAAACATATAAAAGATTTTATAGTCAATTTAAAACTTTCAAAGAGTTATTCTGCAATTCTTTTTAAATTTCGATGTTTCGTGTTGGCCGATTCTCAGACCAACTCAATATGGTCACAAAATTTCATGAGAATCGGTCAAGCCGTTTCGGAGGATGGGTACGAAAATTGTGACACGAGAATTTTATATATAAGATTCAGTAGCTCTGAGAATCGGCTACTCTCTATTTTTATATACCGTGCGGTCGGAGTCGCGGACGACAGCTAGTTTACGTATAAATTTTCCACTACTCATGTGTACTTTGGACCCACTTATGTTTAATATAATTATAGAGAGATAATGAATACTAAAGTTCAAATTAATATAAATATTTGCAATAAATAAAATAATCGCTTTGTTTATTTTAAATTAATAACATAAATTTAATTAGAAACAAAGTAAGTGGAATATTTCTAGTTGAAACCCTTTCTTCTTATCACATGAAAGGAAACAATTAAAACAAGATACCAATTATAATATGGTTAAGCAAAATATTTGTGAATTTATTATTTTATGAAATAAAAATGTTTACCATTGGATAGACTATGGATACAATCGGCCCGATGACTCGGCGGGCCGATTGGAACACCGAGAAACACCCATAAATTTACTATCATACAATACTACCAAAATTTAAATTAAGTTTATGAGTAGGTAAATCTTTAAAATGTAAATATATTTCACAAATAAAGACTCTTTATTAATTTCATTTAATGACTCAGCCATTTAATTAAATTCCCTTTGTTTAATTTATCCCTTCCAAGAGTTTCAACAGCCATGACATTTGTATAATACAAAAGAAGCCCAATGATCATCCTTTTTTTGTGTGTGTGAATAGAAAGAAAAGTCGAGGGAATATTTATTTAATCATTCAACAGCAAATAAGTAAAAATAATGTCAGCAGATAGGAAAAAAATTAAGGCTAAACAAAACACAAAAAAGTGTTATAAGTATTGTAATGTTTTTGAACGGATTAAATGTCTTATATTATTATTATTAAAAATTAACAATATAACTTACGCCCGTAACCCAGAGGGGTAGGCAGAATACACAGAACTTATTCGCATTCATACATTTACACATACACTCTCAAAAGAACATAACGCCTAAAGCAAACATCTGTATAGGGCCTCACAGGGACTAGGTTTTTTTTTATCATAAGGTGGCAAACGAGCGAGCGGCCACCTAAAATCGCTGAAATAGCGAGTGGCCGTTGCCCATAGACGTACGCAATTGCATATGCATTGCCTACCTTTTATCGACGAAGAAGAGGATGCACAGAAAGAAAATATTTTCCCTTTCCATGCATCCTCTAATCCGGAAAGTCCAATCCCACTTCTCATCCTTTCCTTATAAGAAAAAGGGTGGGAAGGGAAAGAGGACTAAATTAGGCCTTCGAGACACACAATTATCAGAAAAACGCGGAGTTGCTTCCACTTGACACCTGTCTTCTGTGCGGTCATGGTATATCACCGGGCGAGCCGCAACAATTCGTGCGAAGATGTTAAAGCGGGCTCTACCACTGTTAATAGGTCGAGTCACAAGAATATTACTCTAAGAAATCAATGACAATATCAGAAACACTATAAACCAAAAATACCCTTGATGTTATATCATCCTAAAATCGACATGATTCATAGTGGAAAGATTATGAAATTAAAGTACTCAGTAAAACTTTGAACTCATGATATGAGTAATTATAACTTTTGTTGTACAAATAAATTTTAATTTAGACATCTTTATCAGTATGTGTATATTATAAAACCAAGTTCACTGGCCAATCTGTCTCGATATGTTTTACACAACTCATACAGTAGGGTGATTTATCGCGTGTATGTATGTGAGTTTGTATGTTTGTGTGTACTTAAATAAATACAATTGTAACCGCTTGTTGCCGACTGATCTGTTTTTGAAGGATGACTGTCACTCATACAAACATTTTGATTTATAAAAAAAATCTTAATATTATAACTGCGAATGATTAATTGGATGGATATTTGTTACTTGATATCTCCAGAACGGCTATAAAATGAATTTCGTATACGTGTAGAACACTATCGGAACAACACTTAGCCCTGCTATGATACTGAAAATATGTACAGTTCCCTTGGGATACGTTTGTTTTGTTTTTATATATTAACTCGATATATCTGTAGAGTTCACATATCTTAATTAAATTTGGCACAGATATAGAACATAGTCTCGAATAACATATAGTAGATATACTATTCATTCCGTGCCGACGAAGTCACGGGCAAATGCTAGTATTACCTAATGTCTAAGAACGTACTTGGATAAGACCGCAATAATGGAATTTATATTATTAAAGATAGTCTAAACATTATTTTATCTTACAGATTATATTTTAAGACAGATAATAAACGAAGAATTGTACATACCTACTCTGTCTACATCAGATAATTTTGTTCAAGAATACAAGAGACACAGGGTGTTTCACGGTGGGCCGATCGGCCCGATGGGAATTTTTTCCCCATCCGGCTGATTGTTTCTTTGGATTCAATTGGTCTAAAGCACATGAGGTACTCCACATTGTATGAGTGAAGATCCACCGTTAAAAATAATGCATAAAGCAAAACTAACTTGGTAAAATTTCAAGCCAAATTGCCACTTAAAGTTCTTCACCTTGATCAAAAGTAGGTCATGACAAAAAAGGGTCAATAAGTGGGTTTCGACTGTCGAGACATATACGCATAAGTAATAATGTCCAAGTATTCCGCCTTTGATAATGTTAACATCTTTATAGTTTTTATAATCGCGCCTACGACAATAATGATTTTATTGTTTATATTATTTAAAGAAAAACGAGTTTAGTTATGACAAGCTTTCGCCGGCAACTTCATCGGCGTTGAAAAAAATTTTTTTTTTTAAAATAAGTTTTAATACGACGAAAACAGAAACATCATGTATAATTTAGGTATTTCTTACATTACGAAGGAAATAGTCATCTGATCTTATATAACACGGCTCATGTTATTACTTATTATTCTTTTCAAATATCTTGGCGGCTCAAGGTCATGTATGCGCTGCGCAGTGCTCTCCCCCCGCATCCCGCTACACCCAAAATTATGTGTGCAGTGACTCGCAATATGCACAGAGCCGCTAAGTTATTTGAAAAGTGAAGGATTTGTTGAAAGGTGATATATTTAATATGGTAGTGAAGACTGAGGTGATGGAAGATAGATCTATCTATAAGTCGAGAACAAACACAGGTATACGCATTTATTCCTTTAGAAAATATCACTTTACGACCATATTAAATGCCATTTTCCTCTGTCATAAAAGACAAGAGCAAATGCAATTATTTATGCAATTATATTCCACGATGCTATAATTAAATAGAGTCGAACAGTTTTATTTTAAAATGTTCTATGCTTTTATTTTTTAAATGCATGGGAATATGCAGTTTTAAAACTTGTTACTCTCTCAGTGGAAAAAAAAGATATTTTAAGAAGGACTAGATCATGTCGTTTATTTATAAGATAACGCCTCACTTCGCAAACAAGGCAGCGTAAATCTTCGAAACACGAAGAGTTTAATCGCTAAGTAATACAATATCATAAAGATGTACATTTTGTAATTTTATATACGCAAAAATAATAAACACCTCCTGATCAAAGAGCGTCTGTGGCTCAGTGTTCAAGCATTTGACTTGCAATCTGCAGGTCCTGTGTTCGAATCCCGACATGTACCAATATGTTTTTCGATTTCCGATTTACATATGTACATTTACCCGACGTTCTTACGGTGAAAGAAAACATCGTGATGCAACCTGCACATATCTGAGAAGAAATTCAAAGATATGTGTGAAGTCAACCAATCCGCACTTGGCCAGCGTGGTTGACTATGGCCTAATCACCCTTAACTTAGGGTAGGCTCCGAGCCCCTCGGTGGGAACGTATAGCGAGCTGATGATGATGATCAAAGTTTTTCGGACTATAACCACGCTGCTCTCGCCGTCTTATTAAAAAAATCAGTACTCTACGTATTCTTCCAGACTATGTTTTATATGCATGCCAAATTTCAGTGAGCTATACAGCCGTTCCGGAGATACATTGTTACAAACATTCGCATTTATAATATTAGTAACATTCTTCGCTATATGGGGTTAAAACCGTCTATTATCGCCGTCTTATCACAGCGAAGTGTCTGAGCTGAGATAATAGATTTAACTTAAATCCAACAGATTTACAGACAGCCGGTAATTTTCCAATATTAATGTTCTATATATCTACATATATTAACCGCCATTTCTTGGTAGAAGAATAAAAGTTACCGATCGCACTCAGCACAATATTTTGGGCACAAAATTTGGGACATAACTGGTAATATTAAAAAAGTCAAAATTAATGTCAATTTGCATGTGTATTATATGATTAACTTATAAACTTTATTTCTTAATAAGTTTTTCCGATTTTCTTTTATTAAATGCATTATTTGTGCTTTTACGAATAAAAAAACCTGTACGGGGAAATACCGCGAAATGATACAATGACAGGATAAATCGTAATTTTATTTAGTTACCTAGTTATATGAATTTAAACTTATTATCATAGTAATATTAGGCAAACAAAACAATGTAAGAGAGAAGTGTTCATTAAAAAAAATGTTTAATTCAAAGGAATGTCTAATTTACTTACAAAAACAAATGACAAGAAATAGAATTAAATCCTACTTAAAATTTACATTGAAAACAAAAGCCAAAATTTATCACAGATAATTTATTTCATTGTGTGAATGTCACAGAGTTTAATCTGATAATAATAACGCAGATTAAAAAATAAATAACCCATCAATACACTGCAACACACTAATAATATTAGCAACAGCAAAAATTAAAAAAAAGTCCTTACCGGCCTTCATTTTATGAGAAATATCACAGGCAACAATATTAAAACACTTGAATTTCAGTCACAAATAAAACTTTTAGACAGACGGTCGCAGTGGCAAAACGCGAGCTACTGTTGCGAGTGAAAGAAGTGTACTGCGGAGGCGCGGCAAGTCACACCCGGTGCGGCCTTCTTATCAAATCGCGCCAAACTGTGACGTAGCAAACACGTATTGCACTAGGGTGACATTAAATTTAACCTCAATCAAGATAAAGGAATTTGTGCCCCTTGCAACACAATAAATGGAAAATTAAAAGTAATTCAACAAGTCAACAGTTAATAGCCTCGTCTTAATTAGGCTAGTTTGGAATTTAAAGTTTACGCGGCATGTAATGTTTTATTAAATAAGAGACATTTTTACCTATATTTAAAATAAACATTACATTACAAACATACTCATCGAAATGTTAACAAGTTCATGTATTACATTGATTGAGATTCAAGACTGTCCTAAACAAATTTTGTTTATGGTTACCACAGCGTTACGTCAAATTTACGATATGCAATGCCGTTTCTACATAATCTTTATTAGCAATTTGTATCCGTTTGTCGGTCTAATAACACGCAATGACTGTTTATCGTTAATACAAAATTTGGACATGATATCTCTTTATAACATTTATGGTAGCAAGCCTACACGAAGATAAATCAAACATACCAAGATAATCTAGAAACTTTTACAACTTTTATCATTTTCGATAATTAAATGTTCCATTGATAAAACATTAAAAAACAAATATTTTTTTTACGATTGACCTTAGATATCAAAATATAAATGACGTACAAAACAAATGTCATTGTCCTTTGCGATATTTTTTTAATACGACATAAAAAGGCGGGAAAGCAAAAGTCAAAATGAAAAGATTAGCAAACATAAATACCGTCTATGCATAGTTGGCGTTTTAAAACGCGTTTTAAATCCTTATCGTCCATTGAAACAAATCTTCATTCAGCAATCGCAATTACGACACTAATCTATTTCAAATAGAAAGACTTATTTTAGCGCTAGGTTTTGTCACCTAGATAATACCAGCTGGCCAATAGGAAGATTCACATACGCCGAAGTCTTTAAAAATAGACGTACGTTACGCGTTTCAAATATGTCGTGTACATTGAATTTGCTGATGACTATTTTTGTTTGATTTGTAATTAGCATTGTCATCTCACCGGGAGCGTCTGGAATTATTCTAATGTCTGGCTCTAGTCTGGTTTTTGTTTGTGCTATATTTTATACATTCGCAGGAGAATTAAAATACGACACTAATATATCACCAACACAGAGAAGGTAATATTTTATAATATAAAGGTATTTTAGCAGTAGTAACCCGTGACCTTGAATTATCAATAAATGCTTAATTTAAGATGAAAAAAGAAATTCATCATATTCTTTTCAAACATATAAATTCAGTGTCTCATTTTATTAGTACTCAATGTTCTACAAACATAACATTTGATTTCATACATATATTTAGAACAATGTATGCGAAAAACGGAACATGCAAAAAACCATAAGGTCGTGAGTACGACGTATCACCAATAACATAAAATTATCGTAAAAGAGACGTAATATAGTAAAATATTTCATTTGCTATTGTTTTTAATATGACAGTAACTTCAAGCAGTCTTAAAATATTGTTTTTCGACTTTATTGTTTTAAAATATTGACTTTAAAACGACTTTAAAATATTGTTTTTCGACTTTTTTTACCAAGAAACATCATCATACTATAAATTTTGTTTTTATTATAATATTTTTTATAACAGTATTATACTAGCTGACGCCCACTACTCCCTCCGAGTGAAATTTAAAAAAAACTTAATAAGTAGCCTTCTTCCAGACTGTTTGCCAAATTTTATTAAGATCCATTGAGTCGTTCCGGAGATATCTTCAAACCAAACATCTATCCATCCATTTAAACTTTCACATTTATAATATTAGTAAGATAGAATATATGATAATAAAAAAATATTTGTGATAAATAAAAAAAACCTTTGTATTGTACTTTGTACTAAATGACCTCAAATGATAACTTAGGATTAGTTTCACAATGTTACTAATAGTATTTATTTTGTTATCAACTATATTGTTTTTTTTTATAGTGTCAATTAATGAACAAAATAGATTGATTAAATTAGTATGATTCAGTTTATGTTTAACCAAACATTTCTAAACATCCCTGGCCAGAGAGAGATATATAATTTCTCATGTGCGGCACCGGGGTGAATTTTCAATAAATATTTGGATGTTTTAAGGATGCTGCAATTATTATAACTTAGACTTGTCATGTTATGACATATTCCTACAAATATTGCATTCATATTGAACATAACAATTTTGTCAACCCATTTGGGTATGTTACTCAAAATCTATTTTGTTTTGAAATTATATGCCAAAATTCATGACCAAAACATATCCTCCTACTGTCATTTTGAATGAGTATAAAAGAGTGATATGTATGCATAGAATTTGCTAATATTTTTAGTAGAGCAAATTAAACATTACTTATTTCACAGAGAATATTCTATTTTCAAAGCCTACTTTGGCAAGATATGGATTCTTAGAATAGTATTTTTAATTAATGTGTGTATAGCCAACCTTTTGCAACCAAAAAATTTTGGTACCCATTATATATTTAATTACGTAGACTGACTACAATCTATGATGATCAATAAACAATAAAAATATTTGAAAATAAAAAAAAATACCTGTTTTTTTTCTTTATGTCATGTTATTATTCTATAAAATTATTGAATTGACATGAAGATTTTTTTTTGCGTTAAATAACTTTAAGGTAAAATTATAATCAAAATATTAATGTAAAATTTTGATACAGCATTTAATAAGAATGTGAAAAATTATAAAATTCTCTGTCATGATATGCTTTGTTCGTACAGTGGTCAAAGTGTAAGGTCAGAGTTAAGTATAATAAAGTTTTTCATTTATAAAATGAGTTTTTTTTATTAAATATTCAACATGCAGACGAAGAAATCAATCCGTAAGATTGTTGCAACATTGAACATGAACTTACCCGTTTTATATCTGTTCGTAATGAAAAATATTTGTACACTTTATTAGCACATCGTATTGATTATTTGTTTTACGTAATTTTATATTTTCATGTAAAATATTTGCGACAAAACCGACAACAGTATAAAAAAAGATTGTCATTCAAATGTCAAATGCGCTGAACAGTGTTGTCAGTCCTTTTTATAGAAAATCAATAAAATTGAATTTTAGTAGAATTTGGTAAATTGGAAATCATTAAATCGGTGCATTTAGTTTTCATATAAATGTAGTAATAATATATTATAGGAATTGATAAAATATTCATTGAGTGATTTATGATGCATTTTTCTTATTTAAAAGAATGTCATAAGAAAATCAGTTCATTAGGAAATTTTTGTCAATTTTATTATAAAAAGCAGTCACCCGATAAGCAAAAGCATTGGCAGATATTTTATTTATCGCTTACGGGTTAATTTAAATTTGTCAACATAAGAAATAGGTCAATAACAAAACACTATAATATTATCAATATTTATTACAAAAGTAATTACCACTATATACTATTTTACATTCACATATTTTTTAATCTTAATCGTCGGCTGTCTATAATGTTCTTGCCTGATGTGTAAAAATCTTCATAAAACATTTTAATAAAGCAAAATAATTGAATATTACTCTAGACATTTGCATACCAGAAAATAGTAGAAAATTGATATTTTTCTCCCGTAAATGTAGTATTGTACTTAACTTTTATATTACTTATCGATATACCGAAAGCCTTTAAGAGTACGGATCCATTGGGGACATACCGAATTAAACGGATTTGCTTTGTCTTTATGAGGGTGGCGCGGTTAATGGACGCTAAATAAAATCATACAAAGCTAACTAAAATCCTTCGCTAACCGTTGAATGGACTCGTACCTTATGGGCAATAAGTTGATAATATTGCTTTACCAAGGCAGTCATTTTACTCTAAACTGTCTTCTTTGTAATATCTGATTAAAATTACAACTTACATATTTACAAAGTTTATTAATGAACACCATTACACAACTTACGATCATATAATAAAACTAAACTCCTTCCCGTGGGTTTCCACTGTCGAAATACCTGTATAAAAACTAACAAAATGTTTTTGAATAGATGTACCGGCAGTGAAAACCCATGGTTATATTGTTCACTCATATTACAAAGTGTGACATTACTATTTAGTACAAATGTCTTAATCATTAAGGTGGCCCTTAAGTAGATCTGTAACAAAACATATTTTTTCTTATTATATGTTACCAACTGATTGTGAAAAAGTTTTTCATTAAGCTAGGCACATTATTAACTGTATGAAACATGCTGTTTAATTATTAGCAGTTTGCAAAACAACGAATTCGAATCTTTAAATTATGAACTATAAAGACCACTAGAGAAATTCAGTTTTTACTGAACAATCGAATGGTCCAGTTAAAAATGTGTCTAGGCAAAATCTTAACTGTCATTTGAAGTTAGTTTTGACTACTGGTTTAATTAATGTTTGTTTTATAAATAAATAAAGAGTTTAGGAACACTGACTCCTATATATGGACTGGCTATAAGCCATGGTATTTTGTGCCTATTTGATTCGCACCAAAATCGCACAAAATACATTAGTATTAAGTGTATAACTACCTACTAGTCTCTCCTCTTCTTGTGTGTGTCGTGTCTATCGTGATGGTCGTGGTGGTCTCGTTTGCGACCGGACTTGTCTGCTCGCTTCGCCTCACTCAAGAACCGATCCAGACCGAACGGATCAAAGTCAGCATCAGACTGGCTACGACCCTGCTGAAAATTTTATTTACTATTAGATTTCACTTGTAGCATGCACTATCAAATGTATTTTAAATATTTTCTATGTAAATATGTGAAAAGTAATTTAAACTCCTTTTGATTCCCCGCTGACAAAGTATGTAAGATTTAATATAGAAAGATATATGTTACATTCGAAAGTACTGGACACCCTGTATATGTCATATTCAGTGTACAATGGGTAGTATATTATTAAAATTTAGTAGCACACAAACAACCTGTATCAGTAACATTCACCATAGATTCTTGACACCAAAATCTATGTTAAACATACCATTATCTCTGTCTCTCATCTTTGACGAAACAGAGATAACAATATGTTTTGAACAGAGTTTTTGTCTGTGAAACCAATGGTCAGTGTATTTCTGTGGTATTTCAATATACAAACACCCGGTATCAAGTTGAGTATACTAACAGGTTCCTCTCTGGCGGAGGGATTGTCCTTCTCAAACTGCACAGGTCCTGCGCGTGTGTTATTACTGCTCGTTCCTGCAAATTCCTTATCTGCTACGAATCTGCAATAAGACATCTATGTCAATGGGAATAAGAATCAAGTTTCCATGGGAATTTATGTATCAGTCTGATTTAAATGCAAAGGGATAGCTAGAACTTGTTACACTTTTCGTGCGGGTTCAATTTAAATTTGACTTCAAACAGAATCTTTATTTCGTAATAGAAGTTTTCAGAAATTTTAACGGCTGTAACCATCGCCTTTGACCTGCCAAGATATTTAAAAATAACTTTACAGCATGTTATCCAATGCTCTTATGGTGAAGGAAAACATTATGCTGCAGATATATGTCAAGAAATTCAAAGATATCTATAAAGCCAACCTGCACTGTTTCAGCATGGTTGACTATGGCCTAGTCACCACTAACATAAGGTAGGCCCGGAGCCCCTCAGTGAGGACGTATATGAATACAGTATGTTATACTAGACATTATTTTATTATCTATGACTTTTAATAGTTGATACATAAATCCATATACATTATTAAAAAGTAAGATATACCAACCTCCTAGTATTAACAATAGCATCAATATCCCCTCCGTAATTATCTTTATCGGCATTTCTAGTGGGTCTGTAGATATGTGCACCCACTGTGTCTTGGTTGCGCCACGGCTTGTCATAAACTGTGTATGCTTCGTCGTCACCATAGCCTGGAAAGGAAAAATTTAAAAATTATGGTAAAAAAACATATTATTCATCCTTCCAAACATTACAATGCAATTACATACGAGAGTGTCCAATTGTTCAAAATATTTTGCTCACTTTTAGGTTTCTCTTTAACTAGAGTTTCTCGCTTATAGAAATTGTCTGTACCTGACAATGACTCTCGCTGATAAAGATTGTCTGGTAATTAAAAAATATATTTTCACTCACCACTGTCCATTCCCTTGCTATTGTTGAACAACCTCTGGTCAAACATCCCTTCACCACCCTGGTTTGTTTTAGCCGGCATACCCAGAGCAATCTGCTCGGATATATCCCTTTCTCTGTCCTTCACTAGTTTAGATCTGAAATAAACAAATATATATATGTATCTTAGAATCTTTACAATTTAATGTACATAATCGATATACATGATGTTCTTTTTTTGTGTTATTTGGAAATTTCCATCCCCAGTCTACTTTGAATGAAACTTAGGTAAACCTTTTATCTGGCGCGGCTCTAGCTAGATTTCTCTCTCTCTGGCGATCTTTGTGCCGCTCTGCGCGCAGACGGTCACGCTCTGCCTTGTCCGCATCCGACAGTCCCTCCTCCGGCTCAATACTCTCCGTCTCCTCCTCTGCCGGTCTAATACCTGAGGGCATAAGTTAATAATTTATTAACGGCAATTCTAATTACATTTTAGAACCAAACTAGTATAATATAAGGACACACTCTATAACTAATGCAAAAATTATTTAACATTTGCTATTCATTGTTATTCCGATCCCTAGAAAGCTTAAAATTAAATCAATAGGAAAAATTAGCCAAAATTCAAACATTCAACACATCTGATAAAGGTCTATGACTAGAAAAAAAAGATGGCAAAATAAGAAATCCAGAATAGGTATTGGAGAAAGTTAGGTATTCAAAAAAGTTTATACCTGCTCTATGATCTCTGGCTCTCTGAGCTAACATTCTCAAATGTTCTTCTTTCTTCTCTTTCTCCCTCTGCGCCAATCTCCTCTCCAGCTGAGCTCTGGCCTCTACCGCCTCCCTGGCTTTACGATCAGCTATGTATAAAGCTTCGGCAAGCTTTGAGAAGTTCTCATTAATATGTACTTGTTGTAATCCTCTGCCGTCCGCAGCCAAGCGCTTATCCAATGGTATTGTGTAACCTGGAAAAGATAATAATTATATTGGTACATTATCAATAATGTTTACTAATATGTAATATCAATGCGCAAAATTAAATGGATGGATGGATGTTTGATGTAAGATATCTCCGAAACAGATCTTGATGATATTTGGCATAGATGTAGAACATAGTCTGAAAGTACACATAAGCTACTAATTAAGTTTATTATAATTTCGCGCGAACTACAGTCGAGAGTTACTATATTACAAAACGAAAGATTTGTTACTTTGCATTCCAAAACTACCGAACTGTTAGCAAGCTATAGTATACTAAGTTATAACATGTTTTTTTAAATTTTGTGCAAAGTGGCGTGCAACTGCTAATATGATAAATAAATGTTTTTAAGTACATATAACAAATATTACCTTTAGCGTTCTTCCAATGGGACACACAAGGTGGTACTTTCCAGTCCCTCTGCTGTTTGACGGAGACTCTCCGAGGAGGGGAGTGTAACACGGGTGCTGGAGGCGAAGGTGCCGCGCGCGGGATCTTCTTGTTGATCTGGAAGCGTGGAGGCTCCATGGGGTCCGCTTGCGCTTCTACCATCCTGTAGATACATTCTTATTACAAATGTCTAAAAATGTTGATTGTTTTAGACAGCAGTTGAAATTTTTGTATTGAAATATACAATGACCCCATAACATATATGCCATTAAATTGCATATTATACTAGCTGTTGGCCATGACTCCGTCCTAGCAGAATTAAAAAAAAATTAATTAGCAGCCTATATGTTCTTCAAGACCGTGTTCTACATCTATGCCAAATTTCAGCAAAATCCATTCAGCCATTCTGAAAATATCTACAAACAAACATCCATCTATCCATTCGCATTTATAATATCAGTAAGATTAGATTAAATTAGGGAATAATATTTTTAAGTATTAAAGTCATAATCAAACAATAACTTTTCCATTCTTTTGATTCTCTCAGGAAAAACAGAGATAGGAATAATGTTTATTAGTAGTTATGCCAATCATCATCATCAGCTCACTATACGTCCCCACCGAGGGGCTCGGAGCCTAATCTAAGTTAAGGGTGACTAGGCTATAGTCAACCACACTGGCCAAGTGCGGGTAAGTTGACTTCACACATATCTTTGAATTACTTCTCAGATATGTGCAGGTTGCATCACGATGTTTTCCTTCACCATAAGAATGTCAAATAAATGTACCTATGTAAATCGGATATTAAAAAACACATTGGTACATGGCGGGATTCGAACCCAGGACCTGCAGATTGCAAGTCCAGTGCTTGACCACTGAGCCGACGCAAGTTATTTCTTAAAATTGCTGTATAACTAACCTGATGACTCTCTGCTTTGCACCAGAGTTAAATGTGCCTCCTTGTTGTGCCGGTGTATATCTTATGTACTGAGCTGGAGCCTGAAATATACACATACTATCAACACAACATAGATATTGTTCTTTTATATATAAATGACAACTTTATTAATGTATTAAAGGATATTTTGCTGTAGACAAGGAATTTTTTTTAATGAATATAGTTAATTTTGTTGAACCTAGTTAAGCCAGTGGCTTCTCATTTATCTATATCTCACTTATTCAGGCTTGACTGTAGTTAGATTTCCATAAAGAAAATAGTCATTATTTTTAACTTTAAAAGATCCTTTTAACTTGCTGGTAGATATTTTAATTTATTAATAGAATTTTTCTAATTATTTGTAAAATTTGAGATTATTACGATAGGAATCAAAAAGCAATTTTTTAATCTATATATAAAACTCAACTTACAGCCTTAGGAGCTGCTTTAACAGGCAAGGCGGCAGATATTTTAGCATTAGTCAACTTCTCAAGTGCCAGCTTTGTCTTTTCTGTGATATCCTGAATATCATCTTCCGTTGGCTTCTGGAGACTTGGATCATCTTCTGCCAACACTTCGGATGGTAATAAATCAGTCAACTTAGAATATATTATCTGTAAAAAAAATGTAAGTCAATTTCAATAAATTTGCAAATAATTATTAAATTTCAAAACAAAGCTATTAATTAAAAATTAAAATATATTTACAATAATTATATTTATAAATAGATAAATTAATCTACTAACCTTATCAGCACTATGGCCTTGTCTTGCGATTGCCGAGTATTTAACTCGTCCAGCCTCATCCAGTTGCACCGCCAGTGCATTGGATGTGCTCTCCTTGCCACGTGCTCCCATACCCAGTGGGTACTGAGCAACATGGATCTCCGGGAATGCACCTCCATCTAGAACAAACAGTTTCTACTTATACATCTGCTACACCAAACTTACCCTATTTAACTCCACAGCATCAATGAATATCACTCACTTTCTCTGTAGCTTGTTTTCTCATTGCTGAGAGTGAATATCACAAGTCAATGACAAATCTTAAACTAGAATAAATGGTTTACTCCTTATTGTACCGAGTCGTCGTAAGCGGGAAAAAGGTGACAGGTCTAGTAAAGTCAATTTTTTTATAGGTTGCATTTACAAACTTCACTTTTTTACCTCCATAATCTTCCTCCGCCCGTGGTACCCATCCTTTCCTCTGCCCATATGGTGGCACACTTGTCTGAGATACGACTAAGGCGCTGCCGACACGCTGGCCCTGTCGTTCGTCATCTCTGTCCCATACTTGCTGAACTGGTGCTGGTAATAGGCTGAAAAGTGTCACAATTATCCAATTATTTCTAAATTATATTTGTTAATTATTATAAATCACTAAAACACGGAACGATGTGATGTGAAGAAACACGAAATTATTAGAAGTAAACATATTTGAAACTTTTCAAACACAAAGTTAACCATTAGAGTTTGGTAAAATTTCGTACAATAATTGTTCATTCGGATATTTCACATCTAGATATGAATTATAAGAAACTTCTTTCGTATAAGTAACGGACTCGTATAAGTAACGGACTGTAATATAGTAAGTTATTTCTTTATAAATAAAATATAACACACGCATACCTCGACAAGGACGCCATTTTAATGAATGACCAAAGACATAGATAAATAGATAACAAAAAATGACAGTTATAAAGTTGCCAAAGAGTATATAAAATAAATATTTTATATACTCTTTGGCAGTTGCGAAAAAGAGTTGATTTTAATGCTATTATGGTCTTACAGTCTTACATCCCAACTCAAACTCAGTACTCAGTATCCTAATTACTTATCTTTAAAAATATTGCAGTAGATATGTCTAGCGGGTTGTTTTAGTCCATCCATTAGTTTATCCTATGCAATTCTATTGGAGCATTTACAATTATAAATTTGTTTTAATAAATTATAAACTTCCTCTTCCTGCTCTTTTGTATCAAAATATAACAAAAGCAGCATTTGATATAAAGTTAATTTGTTTAAAAAAATATATTTCTATCTTAACAAATTACTTAATAAATACGTGTAATATGAATTAATATGAAAACTTGCTGATATCATTAATCTCGTTTCTTTCAATGAGAGGTGGAACAACTGTCAGATTCGTATATAAATGAAGTAGGCTGCGAACGTCTCTCTTTTATAACCTCAAAAATGCGCGAGAAGTATCACTCAGAGATGGCGAAGTGAGTTTATTTTTAGTTTTAATAAGTGTTTAAGTGAACGGATCATCATCATGCCGTCGAAAAAGAGAAAATACAACGCAAGGTTTCCCGCGGTAAGTTTAAATTTCCATGAACAAGATTAGAAATGTAAAATATGTGTTATTGTTTTCGTTCGTAATCCCCTTTGGATTTGAGATATCATGACATTGTTTGGTTTTAGGGGCGTATTAAGAAGATTATGCAAACGGATGAAGAAGTGGGGAAGGTTGCACATGCTGTACCCATCATAATCTATATCCTTTTTCAATTTTCATTATTTTAAAAACAATAGTACGTATGATCGAAAATTAGACGAATATTTGATCATGCGTAGTTCACAGAGATGCGATTGTTGTTCTGGTTATTGTTTTTACGCACTCACGTTTTACAGGAATATTTGCAGAGTATAAAAGAAACATTTAACAATAAATTAGAATTTCATTAGAATAGATTAAAAATGTTTTTGATGTATCAAGTTAATGATATAGGAAATTTTTCAGTTAGTATTAATAACGAATATAGACAAAAATAATTTTCTAAACCATTGAACTGACTACTAATTGAATGTTTAGTTGACTAATAACAATTGGTGTCTAAGACCAAAATATCTGTATAAACATATTGTCATCTTTGTCATAATCTTTGAGTAAACACAGAAAACAATATGTTTTAAATGATAATTTTGGTCTCGGAAACTAATGGTAAGTCAATATACACTGGCCTCTAAATTTAACTCTTGATGTTAAAGTTTTACATCACTTTTAAAAGCTTTTTCACCAAGTATAAGTTCATAAAAACAATGCTATTTTAACATAACATCAATCTTATAACTTTTAAAACTACCTACCTTTGGTCTTTTTATATTTGTGACTAAACATAACAAATAACAAAAAATCTAGAAATTAATTTTGTTGAACACCAAAATTATTGCATTCATCTGATGATGATCAGATTGATATCTGCCCTTATCCCTACAGAGGGTCAGCACAGTATATACTACTTGATACATCTCTATCAACCGTCACATCTGAATTCACTCCCTTCTTATAGTTTTGTCTCTGTCTTAGGTCTTGTTCTACCCTTGCAGCCTTTGACATTTAATCTTTGTTCAATTAATGTTGGAGACAAACAGATTGATTTGAAAGACATGAACCTATTATAAACCCACATAGTGTAAGATTACAGCAGGATGATGTTCATTTTGTGTACTACATTTTGTTATCAAACATCTAACAGTTGTGTTTTGCATTGAAATGTTGAAATTTGGAAAATCTCGATGATCTCGAACAGATATATAAACACCGCAGTTAACTTACTGTAATTTGAATTATACACACTTACAGTGGTTTCAATGCAACAAATTTACAAAAAATTCTTTGTCATCCCTTTTACTCTCTGTTGAATTACTGATATATAATATTATAAATGCACAGTTTAGATGGTTGGATGTTTGTTAGAAGGTATCTCTGGAACAGCTCAATGGAGCTTGAAGAAATTTGGCATAGATTTAGAACATAGTCTGGAAGAACACATAGCCTACCTAATTATTATTTTTTTATTGAATGCTGATGGACTCAAGGGTGACAGCTACTATGAAATAACAATATACTCATAGCCTCGGAATTCTAGTAATTTTTGCCCGACTAACACTAAGTAAGCAAGTAATTTTTTTCTGGATATGTTTGTAAATCTGTTACTCAAAGAAATACATTACATACGTTTATATATTCAAACTAGCTGTCGCCCGTGACTCCGTCCGCCCGGAGTAAAAAAGAACTTAATTAGTAGCCTATGTCTTCTACATCTATGCAGCCATTCTAGAGATACCTTCAAACATCCATCCATCCATCCAAACATTCGTTTTTTTAATATTAATGAGATTAGTAAGATAATTTATAATTTCCAATAAAATTAAGACTTTACAGACCACTAACTTTAGAGGCCGGAAATTGCAAGCTTAATTTTACCCTTCTAGTATTATTCCAAAGGATCTGTGGCAACCTTTCACATCGTGAGAGAGTGTACAATGCACTTGACCTTAATTTTACTTGTATTTATATTCATAAAAAAACAAAACATTAATAAAATAAGTAAAAGGTATGCTGGTGAAAGTAATATTAAAATTGTAACAAAAAATTCTCTTAAATAAAACAAGTTTTCCTTTTTTAGTAATGTAATTTGGTAAACAAGCAATTTAAATAATATTCGAAATCAATTGGATGAATTAAAAATATTTAATTGTAAATATTTTTGGCATTCATATAGGAATTTGAGTGTCAGCGGTTCAGGGGTTAAAGCCCTGTTAAGATTTGTTTTCCTGGGTTCGCATCCAGCTATGAAGCAATCTGTTTTTCCATTTACATCGTTTTTACGGTGAAGGAAAACAATGTGATGCAACTTGCACATATCTGAGAAGAGATTCAAAGATATGTGGGAAGTCAACCCGCACTGGGCCAGCGTGGTAGACTATGGTCTAGGCACTTCTAACTTAGGGTAGGCTCCGAGCTCCTCAGTAGAGACATATAGTGAACTGATGATGAAGGTAATGATGATATTGCATTTTATTGCGTTCTGCCGTAGCTGTAGTGTGTCAAATTTATTTGTCGTAGTCAATTTATAAGCCATTGTTACCTTGACTCGTATTTATTATTATCAACACCTCGTACATTGGAGCTGTTTGTGGAGTCGCTATTGTGTAAGGCCATGTCTGTCACGATGAATCGCAACGCCAAGACTGTCAGCCCCTCACACTTCAAGCAATGCATCCTGGCAGAGTCCAGGTTTGACTTCCTCAGAGATCTGGTGAGTTATACTTTTTTAACGGCATTTTAATGATCCATTTGGATGTGACCAGCCTTTTGTGCCTTATTTAAAATATATATTATTACATGCCTGATATTATTTGGTTGATGTTTTTTTTATTAAATTAATTACTGCGTACTGCATTTTTAGATTTATAATAAATTTTATCTTAGAAATCTGTTTCGATGCCAATTTTTAACGATTTAATCGCTTTGGTCCCTCAATATGACGAGAGTTCATCTATGTTGTCATTATTATTGTGTTTGTTGCATGTCATGCTTCACACATACCATACAAAATTAGTTTGTGTGAACTATTTTTGTTGTATGTATGTATGTATAAATATTTGTTTTGTTTTTAATTCCAGGTGAAGAATATACCTGATGTTTCACCTGCAGATGAAAAGGACATGAGTGCTGAAAGTTCACCAAATTCTTCCAGGTTAATATGTTTGAAGAAACATCTTTCAAATGTTGTAATTTATAAAATTAATATGAATGATTAAAATGTTTTCTGTTTAAAAAGATTTCCAGACGCAGTCCAGCCGACTCAAAGGATAGCACGAGGTGATTCCAGCAGTTCTAGCAGTTCAGATATATCACAATTGGCACAACATAAAGATAACCTCAAAAGAACTCACTCGGAAACAGAAGTCACCCGACAACGGAACGAAACAGTCACTTCCGCAGAATCCGCTATAGATTTAACTAAAAAAGAAGGACCAAAACAAGTCCGAATAGCGAATTTCTATCAAGAAACATTAGTGGATGAACATCCAAGCGTGATAACAATCAATCCAACATATTCCAGCCCTCAACCGTCGACATCTAGTTATGCAAATCTAACTAATGTCGAAGAGAATAAGGTCGAAGTTACCGTGCCAAAGCCGAAACATAAACCAATGTTCTATGTAGATGTTAAACAAAATAATATACCTAAAACTCCGACACCACGAACACCAGTCACTCCTGTACTAAATATAGACTTTACTAAAAATCTAGCTAAACCAGAAATCAGAGTCCTTGATACCGCAGTAGCTAGTATCGTCGGAGTGCCAAAGAATGATAAAATTTCAAAGTTACAAAGGCGAAACTCAAAAGTTAAAGTTGATACTAAAAAGTTTGAACCCAAACCTATTGTTCAAACACCACCGGTTGATATAGATCATTTGAATTCCGGTAATTTACAAATTGACGAAGACTATGATACCTGAATAAATAAGTTTTGTTTTTTCTTGTTTAATTTGTTGTGCTATTTTATAGCGAGTAGACATGAAATTTGTTATCCAAGTAATTTTATACCATAACCACCATATGACCATAGACCATACTATCACCAGTATAAACAACAACTTTATATGGTTAATTAAAAAGAATTGACTTATTGTCTTTGTTTATAGCAAAAAAAGTTTTTACTAAAAAGTTTTTAAAGTGATAAAATACTGTTTGCTCAAATGTGTCAAGTGCTAGTTTGTTTTATTAAAAAAAAACCTACAGTGACCATCCAACGAAATATTTTAAGGATTAAAATCTCTGACAGCTCAAATAATTACGAAGATATTATGTAAACCACAAAAACTTGGGAATACAGTGTAAAATACATATTGTGAACCCAATATAACCAAAAAATATCTATTTTATAACCTAACTATATATATAGAACACCTAAGTATTTGCAGAATGTGAAAAAAAATGCAAAAATTGTAATACAAATTTCTTGGTGAATTATGGTTTATTTAGTTAGGCTATAAAATAAGGATGAATTCTTTGTTCATTTCTATTTAGGTGTTTTCCCGTTGGGCCGATGGGCTTATCGACCAATAGGCGCAGTGGTATTTTCCCATTGGGCCAATTAATAAAATTATCTCGACCCTATGAAGAAAAATGCAGTTGGGTCGATTTATTGGTCGATCGGCCCAACGGGAAACACCTTTCCGTTTCTGTAATAGTTTTAGCGTGGGCTTCCACTGACTTTCATTGAGAGATACATACTATTAAGTTTTTTCTTCCTACCTGAATGTTCAATTCGATAAGAACGGGTCCACATAGGTTCAAATTTGAAATATTTTGTTTATAATTTTCTTCTATTAATTTGGATAACATATATCATGATATAGTTATGTTTTTACCATTATAGGTATGTTAATGATAATATTTTTGTGTAATTGTTTTTTTTATGAACAGTTTGAACTAATGAATGATTTTAAACGTATTCGTGTGAATGAATGAACCCTTTGCTTGTCTTTTTCTTTTTTTTTATTGAAATTCTTTGATGAGATTTTTTGTGTGCTTAAATGGCCAGTAGTTGCGATGTTTTATTTCTGGTTGTTGTTTTTTAAAGAGATAAAAATTTAATAACTTGCACATATATTTGTGTATTTTGGAATATGTCTAAATTTTGTGTGATAATTGTTTACACTATGATAGAGTTACAAAAAAATTGAAATTGGTATTACAAAATTTTAATTTAACAATGATTCTTTTTTTTGTAAAGCCATTTCTAGAATATATGTTATTTCACATTCAGTTATTATATGAATTTACTTTTGGATGTAAATATAAAACTGTTATACATATTTTTAACTTCATTTATTTCAAAACATAGGATGTTAGTTATATCATGGCCACTTGCTTCTTGCTACCTTCTACTATAAAAAATAAAATAACATAATGTTTACATAACCTATAAATTTCCCCCCATGTATTCAATTTCGTTCCGTCCGATAAAAATAATACACATATATTCAATTCAACGTTATAACAAAGATTTTAAAATTAGGTTTCCATCCTAAAAGTATCTAATGCAACGGGAGTTTCCCTCTGGACTGATCAGTCAGCCCAATAGGACGTTTTTTTCCCATTGGACGTTTGATGTGATAGTCCAACGGGAAACAACCCAAGTGACATTTAAATTGTAATTATTTTTGCAGTGAGTTTGAATACACGCATCGCTATTTCATTAGGTTATTAAGATTGATTTTATAATAACAAAATTGGCTTTCATTTGTTAAAAATGCAATAATAATTTACTATATGTTATTATCCGACTGAATCATGATTCTGTGTTATGCGAACTGCCATTTTGAAAAGTAGCCTACACGATTGAACTATGATGAAATGTCATTCAACACATATTCTTCCTTCAGTCGAGTCGTTTTATTTTTTTAATTAAAATACTAATAGTGTTAATGAATCAAAAATTCTCAATGGCAATATATATACAGATATACTTCCATAATTTTTTTGCAGTCGTTTAATATTAAGAAGAAAAAACACTGAATCCATAACTCAAATTAAATTTAATCTATGTTGTTATCCTTGTATGAATGTCTAGTGTTAATATAAATATGTATACCTGGTTATATATTGATATAAAGTATATAAAGCCCACTAATAATATATTTACTTGCACGAAGCATCTTAATCTATGTAATTGTTATATATAATGTGTGTGAACTAAAAACATGCCTTTGATGTTACAAGAATACTTTTTTGTATGCTTTGACTACTTTAGAATTTCAAAATCTATTTCTTCACAAAAAATTGTTGAATAATTGCAGTGAATTTGTAATTTGCAGTGAGTGAGGCAGGCGCATACGGAAGCTAGAGGTACGAGAGAGATAGAGATAGTCTTCCGATCTTGCTTCAAATCTATTAAAACGTCATGACATAATTATTTTTCGCGCGTTTTTATTGTTTGAAATACCATAAAGTTTATCGACGTGTTTTAATAATTGTAATAACTCAATAGTATTTAAATAAAACTAGAAATAATTATATTACAAATCTATATGTACATTTTATATCAAAAAGCGTGCGCTAGAGAATTTGCACGAAATGTTCAAGATGTCAGCGCTTTAAATTAAAAAAAGAACTAACCTACAATACTTCGTCAATTATGTTATCAACATGCAAATAATTATTTATCGAGTAAAATTTATTTTTATAACAGCTGTGTATTTTAATATACTTATTATAAATTTATAAATTCTCTGCAAAGTGTCCTGTTCGTATGAATATGTATTACGAGTGGATTTTGTTTTAAATAGCTTTTTAAATCGTGGTATATGTGTGTAAAGAGTTTATCACGAAAAAAAAACAATTTTGCGGTAACATTTTTTTTTCGTTATTTTATATTTGACGCATGGAATGCAACAGCGTGGATAGATCTAAAATTTGCAACTTTAAACTTTTTTTACTTATATGAGCCAAGACGTTATGTTTTTTTTTGCTTACCTGACTCACCATTTTAACTGCTTTACATTTAAGTTTAAGGACACGTTGCCGTTGTAAAAATCAGCAAACTTTTAATAAAAATATGCTTCTTTCAAAAAAAAATTCAGTAGTCTGAATTTCTAGTCGCTAAGAATGGAGTTATCGATTTTTACAGCTAGATGGCGTCTTATTTTAATGTTTTGAATTCAATGCTTGTTACTTCATGACTATTAAATATTTCTTTAAACTATCCTAATAAGTTGTGCAACTAATGCTAAGTTTATGTGTTTGGAATGTTCTCGAAAGCAATAAAGTTTAGAAGGGTATGGAATGTATGTAAGAAAATGGATTGTGTACAACGCTATATGTTTTATGTATGTTGTAAATTATAATAGAAATACAAAAATTGGTGATACGTAGATGTGGGTTTTATTGTGGGATTCTCCTTTAACACGAAGTTCCTTTATATATTACGTGAACGAAAACAGTCTTCTTCAATCTCTTCAGTCTCTCTCGTTCTTAAAAGAAAAATCATCCTGCAATTCTCGTTTCGATTGAAAGCCTAACCGTTGGTTCCAGAGACCGAAATCTCTATAAAACGTATTGTCATCCCTGTGATTATCTTTGACAAAGCAGAAATAACTGTTTTAAATGGGGGTTTTGGTCTCGGAAACGGTTTCTTTTGATTGGAATATGGTGTGTATTTAAAGGCACTAGCAGATGTGTGCGCATTTAAAAACCTTTGATGTTTGAAATTAAAAACCAATTAAACATCTTAACGACTTTAGTGGTCTGTTAACGATCAGTTTTCACACTTTATATAAAACCTTTGGACATTACGATGTAATAAATTTGATAGTCCAGTGGGATTTTATAGTTCACTAGCTGTGCACGCGACTTCGTCCGTGAAATACTGTCTGAGCTGCGCGCTGTACTGAACAGTACTTGGACATTGCAAACTTACTTAGTTTTCTAAAATTAACGTATCCTAAGTTACTCCTTATACCATCAGCTAGCTGCCAATAAAAGTTGCGTCAAAATCAGTCCAGCCATTTCAGTGATTAGCCGGCACAAACAAACAGACAAAAATTGCAAAAAATATTATTTTGTTGTATGATTATTTTAATATTACAAACGGACAATCCATTTTTATTTATATGTATAGATTGAAGTATCGTAACAGGAATTAAATAAAATCAAAATAATGCAGTCATGTACAAAAATATATTGTTTGAATGTTGTTATATTAAATTATTGTTACTAAAATATTAACAAATACTTAGAATAACACTAAGTTTAATGGGACGTTAAATTTCAATTAATTGAATATGCAAAGATAATTAAAAGATTACAAAATATATGAATTTAGAAAAAAATTTCATTCAAACTTTGAAAGTTATTAACACGTTGAGCGCTACGCGTATTTCTAAGACAATCCCGTTCAGGCCACGAGGGCCGCTTATACCCCCTGGTATTAAATGGCCGGTGTTTCAGATCGCAGTACAAAATAGTTTACATTTTTAACGCAAAATAGTGTAAAATTTTATAGTTCTCATGTTACACGCTGTCAGCCACCGATGGTTGACGCGACCTAAACAGAAAATCTAGTGTCAGCCACCGATGGCTGACCCGGCGCTCAACGTGTTAAACAAGACGTGTTTTTTTTACTTTAAATCGAACCTGCGACAGGAAGGCATTTGCATATTCAAAGTTTTAACAATAATAAAGGATATTTTTAATTCTGGCAAGTTTTAAATTGACAAACATTGAGATTCAGCCTTCCCATATGTCCCGATGTAAACTAAAACATCTTACATACTAATACATACGAAAAATATGGACATAGGCACCTATAATAACAGTCTGTTGCGTTCTAACTTAAACATAAACTAATTAAAAATCCCGCAATAAAGAAACAAACTTGATAAATTTAATTAGGTACTTGGGTATTATAAAAAAAACTGTAAAGATTTAATTTCATTACGGTCCTTCGAGCAGGATATTTTATATTGAAATAAATTTTATTGCCTCATATTTATTAATTTATTTTTTTAAATGTACATAATAGGTACCTTTTCAAATTTAACAAGTATTTTACATTGTTATTATTATTTTCATATAAATTAAAATATTAATACTGATTACAGTTATTAATTAATATAATTATGGTAATTAATTGATGGCGTTATATTTACATCGTGGCATTGATTATAATTTAGTTTAAGAAAAATGTATTTAAACCCGCATTTCTTTTTTCAACAAAAAAAATAATTAAAATATACAACCAACACAATAATTATAATAAATTAATCCTAAAACTGTCTTAAAAATCTATATTTCTGACATTCAGTTACATACAAATTATGCAAAAATATTATATAGTGGTCCTATAAAATATATCTTCGTGAAAAAAACTACGTAAATATATTGAGCACCTTAACTTAGTAGATATAAGGCACTTTAGGTTTTTTTTTATGATGCAATTTTTATGTTATAAAAATTCTTAACTGCAATATTTTTTTTTTGGATTATAAAACATGAAAATAGATGAACACTTTCATTATTTTTATTGCATTTATTTTATTGTAATTCACTATTTTTTATTTTAAGGCTTGAAAATATTTTGCCTTGAGGAAGACTTTTATGAGATATTATGATACATTACCGTTAAAATACACACAATATCATTAAAATAAAATAAAATTAAATTAAAATATAAATTAATTATTTTATTACTTTTTATAACTAACTTTAAAATAAACGCCCAATTATTTTGGAATGTAAATGAGTTGACAGTCTTTGTGAATTTTATTTTAAATATGAAAGCAAATTTCATAAAGATTTTGTATTTTTTTTATATAACAGTTAAATATCATTTTCACCATCAATGATTTCTTACTTGTAACACTATAAAAACAATGTAAAAGACAGGAAGACGCATACACGCAAATATTTTTTAACATTATTAAAAAAAAAACGCAAGTTACCGGCCTTAATTCAGGCAGGAGCTTGCTCTTATAATAATTATTTGCAAGTTAAAATAATTCACAAATAACACCACTTAATCCGTAACAAAATTACGACCCAAAAATTATGTGCATGAGAACAAAAGGATGTATCGAGGAATTCGTGTTAATAAATATCATAATCGCGTAAACTTTTCATGTTAAACCATACTAATTCGTTAATATTCTGTGAGTTAACGTAAAGGATATTAACCCTTATGGCAAGCTTAATTCGGGTTCAATCGCCTCAAGCCTAATTGCGGGGTAGTGGGCATCAAAAACGAAAACCTCACGCGTGTTTATCGTATGATTCATATTCATCAATAGTGAAAATGCTATTTAACTAAGTAAAATTGTTTATTTTAGTATTTTTCCTAATAAACTGTATATAGCATAAAATTATTTGAACATCACAAACTAGTATTTTCAAAGAATTAAAACAAAAATCTATTAATTTTTAAATAAACCAATCGAAGTTTTATGATCAAAAAAATGTTTTTGTTTATACTGTTTAAGTGTCGAGTTGAAATACACACACACACAAACTTCCGCTCTAAGTTAAAAACTTGACGGTGTTAATTTTCATAAATTATTAAAGTAAAAAGAGGTATGAAATATGCAGCCAGCAACCATACCACTTCAGCTAAATTCATTCCCTTCATACAAACTCTCACACACTTCCAACAATCTCAATACAGGGCTTATGTTATATGGGAAGAGAGATTTTGACACCAACCTGCTAATCTGCAATCTTAACCTTATCAACACACGCATCGTATCATCTAGTCCCCTACTGCCTCCGGAGTCGGTCAATTGGCATGTATCTAAAAACTTGGGCCAATTCCTCCGTACATATTTTAGAAATCTTAGCAAATACAACAAGAAACATGTCTCATTGCTTACTAAATAATCTAAAAGTACATCGCTGTCGTGTGAAACAATCTTCAAAAACTCTATAAATGAAGATATAGGGTTCAACATTGGTATTAAATCTGGATACATAGAATTCCTATATACAATACCAACAGTTATATCTAATGTACATACCATTGATTCAATTAGATAATCATCTTGTTCACTAAACAAATGTATTAGCATCTTCGTGAAAGCAGTTTCCGGATGAAATTCTAAACTATTTCGTATAAAAACATCTAATTTCTTCAACACGTCTCTTATGGATCTTTCAACTATTTGCATATCTTGAATCGCGTTATAGTCTGATGAATCTATAGAACTGTCAGATGAATCACATCGCATCTCTTTAACTGTGACCGCTACAGACTTTAAAACTAACAGAGACATTCTTTGTAATGTTGTTTTGTCCACATCACTCCTCGCATTGGAAGACTCCTCATTATCATCTATTCCATAACTCTGATCTACTAATTGTATAGATGAAGATATCGGATTTACTTCAGGACCGAGTGAATAATCCCTTATTATAGTGCATTCGTTACCTAAAAAACCAAAACCACTTCTACTCCTTTGTATTCTTACATCTGTAAGCAGCCTAAAATCTTTAACATATCTCACAATTGAATGCGCTAAGCAGCATATCTCTTCAGGCAGAATATCTTGCAGCGCTAATGTAGATCCATAACACAGAACCTCGTTAAATAGACTTAACAAATGTGAATATATTAAACTGGGCAGCATTCTATTCCTCAATAAATCTACAAAGCTCTGTAAATCTGCATAGAATGGCTTAGTATCAATTATAGAAAGATTAGCCTTAACGCTTATTATATTCTCCCATAGGGAGAAAAATGTTAGTATACAATTTTCAGCATTAGCTAAATTCAGGTACCTTAGTAGCAATAGTTTCATATTCTTGACTAAAACTGGCCAGTGGTGTTCTAACGTTTTTATCGTTAGACATTTTATGTGCGATGTATCAAAGGATTCAGAGTCAGTTAATATTACTGTTATGCAGCCATTTTCGCTAACCCTTTCTATCCTGGCCGGAGGAGGTTCGGGAGTAACTGGCCGTTCTGTTTGTTGATTAGAAAATTTTAATACTGGTTCATGTAACTTGAATGTAACCGTTTTTTCTGGTGGCTTGTCACCCGAAGATGTTGATGGTGCACCATGTGTTTGTAAATTAGAGAATTCATTGTGCAGATTTTCAGTTCTTGAACCAGAAGGTGCTTGTGAGGTACTACTACTGCTTCCATTGTAACTAGTAGTACCTCGGAACGGATTATCTTCTTGCACATTACTGTTTCCTGATGAATTAACATAGTTGCTATCTTCTAGAGGATGCTGTTCAACATCTTTCCACTCCACTATCCTCTTTATAATATCCAAACTGAAGTTTATCTTTTGTACAGTTATCCTATTAATTCTATCAAACAAATATATGTTTTCCGCTATTTGTTGAAGCCAGTTCTCATCAACTGTATCTTTTGAGACAATTAAAAAGCTAGCTAAGACTCTACAGGCAACAAATGTTATGAATTTACTTTTATGATCCGCCAATTCAACAACTTCTGTGATCCAATCATGTTGATTCCTTACAAATATATCACAAGCGCTCATTATCCTTGAACAAATTGTGCCTGTACTATTTTGCTTCAAATATATATCAAACATAAGTTGCATTGTTGATAAATAAGTTAAGGAGCAAGTGAGAGGCCATGAAACTATATTAAGTTGCCTGTCAAACAGTTGCGACACTAAACTTTCATCATAACCACATAAACATTGTCCAACAAGAGCATTCTGTAACGTTCTTAACTCTGTAAGCAATTTATCATCTTCGGAAGTCCAGTGAGGTGCAGGATTAGAACCGGATGGTATTATATCTATTGTAGAATCACTGGGCAGCCTGAGGATAGTCGAACAGTCAACTGCGTCTTCACTAACAGTGCCACTGTCTGGTGACTCCCCATTCCTGGAAGTAAATTCTTCTGATGTCTCTGCAGGTGTTTCAGATTCGAAGATATCAGTGAGAATATCTTCCGCCGATCTATCGCTGCCATCATCAATGTCGGGCGCGTCGATTCGCTGTTTCTTTTTCACAGGTTGATCTGAGGCCATTCCTTCATCTGAATTTGGTGTTAAATGCCCTCGGAGAACCATTAACGCGATTTGCGATACAGCGAATAATACCTCTCGTTTTATTTAAGTAGATAAACGCATATCAACAGGGTTTCTTTCGTTATTCTGAAAACAAAAAGGTGAATAAGTGTTTGACCTTTTCTCAGCTACTCAGTTACGCGCACGACAAAGCCAAAGTAATTTTTACTACAACGAACGATTACCAGTTGCTAGAAAGTTGAAAAAAATGAAATTGATAACCAACGCTAAATAATTTCATAGTGCAATTACATAATTTACTTTTACGTTAAAAGTTTCAATTAACTTTCCAAAATATTTTGATGGCACACATACCATTGACAGACAACCTAGGTTGTTTAAACACTTATTTGCCTTAATGGTATCCATATATGACGTCTAACTGTTCACTGCAATCCGTTAATGATCACTAATACACAGTTTTAAGTGATTTTTCTTAAGAAATCGTATAAAATACTCAATCACAAAGTTGTGCACAGTACATCCACTGAACAGACTCCATTAACTACAATGACGCTTAATCGATTGAAGTCCTTTTTATTCAGGAATTTGGTAAACATTTAACAATATTAAAGAGAAATTAATACTAAATTTTATTCAAAATATTCTAAAATCATTAATAATAACTATTTAAACCATTGAAAGTTTTTGAATCACCGTTTTTATTAAAATAAGATGAATAAAATGTATGGTATTTAACCTTCACATCCGGTTTGGACGTTGCCAGTTTGACGACTTCTGAATTTAGCAATTCAGACGAAAAGTAGCAAGTAATATTTCTGTGTGATGAACAGTAGCTAATTTGTAACTATACTTCAACTATACTTGATTGAAAATCATGTACAGAATTAAAACTTTAAATTATTTTTAAGAAATGTCCGTAAATAAATCAAATTGGACTTTTGCCGACCAAATTAAATTGTAATGCCACTTTTTTTTTTCAAACATTTTAAGTTTGTTAAAATTTAATGTTAACATGTTCTGGATGGACTATCAATAATTCATCTTAAATGCTACATTATAATAATTCTAAACGTTTTCAATATTTCATTGACATAATTTAATTATTTGCATACTGTAAAAGATTTTTGAGAGAATGTTTATTTCACTATTTCGCAAATGGCAACACACTTAGTATCCCACAAGAAAAATGTCTGCTTTGCAAGTATCAGAAATTTAGTTATTTAGTTATTTTAATAGCCGTAACAAGTGTAAATTTACATCACTAGAGATATAAGGTAAATATCATTAATATTAAGATAATATGCGATGTAAAGACGACTTTGATGAGTCATACAAGTGTTTTTGCATAACAATCAATAGAATGAATTTAGGTTAAGATATTTGGTGTTGTATTCCGATCGGGACAAAAATATCCAAATATTAAAACTTCCAAGCTTTTCTTAATATAATTTACTAGTAGGGGATATCATTATTTAAACATACATTCGTACAATGTAAATGAGTCGATATGTCATTGGTTGTAATTTTCTTTTTTTGGTAATAATTGTTATGCATAGTTTAATAAAAGTTCAAATCTGATGATTACGAAAGAGTAATACATAAACTGACACTTGCAACCTTGTAATAGATAGAAAGCAATTGTCTATAAAGTAAACTATTAGACGTTAGGAAAACTATTTCCTGAAATTACTGCAGTGTTCAATAGGCGTTGCTCCTCGTCCAACAAAAATATACAACAACAATGTTTAAGTTTGTATTTTTTATTAAAAAACAACTTCAGATGTTCTAATTCTGGAACACCTACGCATTTTTATTCTTTACGCATGAATTGTAAATATTCATAGATAACAATAAAAATTGTTTATTTTCAGCTTTAACGAAAATGGAATACACAATTGGTACAGATAATAAAGAAATTGGTGATCAAATATCGACTTTTTGATGTGAATCTCGCAGACTATAGTGTAATGAATCAAGTGTACGTCATTAAAAGTTGAGTGAGTGATAACCTTCAGGATGTCTGATGAAGAGGACTCTTCGCCGGATAGGGCTTTAGTGCCCACCAACAATGTACCAGGTAAAACTTTCTATGTATAATAAACAGCTTGTCCTACCAACCATGAGTTTCTGACACCAAAATCCCCGTTCAAAACTTATTTTTAACTCTGTTTTGTCAAAATAAGGGATGACAATATGATTAATATAGAGAATTTGGTCTCGGAAATGAACAGTAATTAGGATTGTAATCAAACACTCCCAAGTAATATGTTTGACTACTATGATTTACCAGTAAGATACCTTAACTCCTGCTTGGAGTAATGATATAAGATAGGCAATTGTTTTATGTTCCCTGCAACTTTGATAAGTTAAACTGTGTGTGTTGTGTTGACTATCAAAATATGTGTACAAAAATTTATTTCTAATCAAAAAAGTAATAGATGTGTCTATTCACTAAATATGTATAAACTAGCTGTGGCCTATGACTCCGTCTGCGTGATATTTAAAACACTTAATAAGTAGCCTATGTGTTCTTCCAGACTATATTCTACATTATAGCCAGATTTACATTCAAATAAACATCCATCAAACCATCCATCTAAACATTCACATTTATAATATTAGTAATATAGTAAGATAAATAAAATTAAATTATCTTATATCCACTGTTATTACATAAATATAAAAATTGACACATGCAATAAATATGGTGATATTTCTTGTGATATAAGTTACAAGATGTAACTCTTTTCATTGAGATTGTTAATACAATTTTGTAGTTTACCCCACAGGTAGTGTGATCAGTACAGTTAACTTTCAATATCATTACTATGGCTGCTTGTGTTTTATTTGTTACATAGTGTGTAAACACTAAGCTGATCTTCTGTTAAGGTCTCCTATATATACATGGTACCAATTAAAATTAACCAAAGACAAATTCCTCTTTATGTTCCATAATTTAACATACATTTTCTACAATAACTGTAAATATTAGCTCCCTGCATTTTGTTGGCCGCAACTCCATCAGTGTGGCATTAAAACATACATCTATGCCAAATTTCATTGAGATCCATGCAGCTATTCTGGAGATACTTCAAACAAACGTCCATCCAAACATTCACACTTATATTATTAGTAAGACTGTCACTGTAGTTAATCTTTCAATTTTGATTTAAAAAAAAAAAACTAAAAAGGTGTATGAAATTTAACACTCCTTTACTTATTTTTGACTTTGGCCAATCTGAAGGCTATATTTAGGCAGTGTATTTGTTATTTTTCAATCTCTACAGTTGATACAATCACAGTGTTAGTAATATTATAAAATATTTAAATTTCTGTCTACATGTCCCGAAAATAGTGTTTGTTCATGTAGAAACCTTTATTTACAATCTTTTCTTTATCGAGCTTTGTATATTTCCTTATTAAAATAAATTAAATGACCACATAAGGAAATGTTATAACAAATAATATAATCCTTTTCCTTGTAAAATAGCCAAGTAGAGTTAAATTGTTATGGAATTAATATAATAAAAGATGTTGACAATGGATTGTGAGTATTTTTCATAGAAACATTTATTACCACACATAAAGATCAAATCTTACTAATATTATAAATGCTAATGTTTGAATGGATGTTTCTTTGAATGTATCACAGTAGCGTCTCAACGGATCTTGATGAAATTTGGCATAGATGTAGAACAATAGTCAGGTAGAGTGCATAGGCTACTTATTAAGTTTTTTTTTAACTCCGTGCGGATACAGCCATGGGAGACTGATATAAAAGTGCGGCAAAAGGTAGTTAGGTATCCTACTGTACTAGCATAATGTAAACCAGGCATAACATTGTCATATATTGTAGTCCTTTTTTTAAATAGAGAATGACAAGGATGGCAATATATGTCGTCTCATGTACAAGTCAAGTCCTAAAATATGTAATTGCTTATTAATATAATTGAATACTTCACACTTGTTAGCGGTCAAGAGAAAACAATTTCTTTTCACGGTACATTGAGCATTTAGAAAGGGGCCCAATCATTAGATCGAATTTCTATAAGGTGGAATAGTGTCAAATTACTCACTCTACAACCAACGTCAGGTCATGTGGAACGAAACTTATTCGGAAACAAACAGATGGTGACAGGATATGAAAGTAAAAAGAAACTTCTAAGCAAGCCTAAAATAATAAGGGATATGCCACAATAGCGGTGCGTCAACGGTACGATAGTAGCGTTTGGTAGTATCATAATATAGTAGCTGTATCCCGCGACTCCGTCCGAGTTTGTGCGGATTAAATAAACTTAATTAGCCTATGTCGTCTTCCAGACTATGTTATGTATATACGTAACGAACATCCATCTAATATCTATACATCTAAACTTTGTCATTTATAAAATTAGTGAACTGTGGCTGATATATGTTTGTTTAAAATTATATACGTTAAGCCAGAGAAACCGAAGTAGGGAAGGCTTCTGTACAGTTCAATGAAAACCACACTGAAGACAGGCGTGAAGTGGAAGCAATTCCGCATTTCGTTGATGAGTGTGCGTCCCGGAGGACTTATTTAGTCCTCTTTCCCTTCCCACCCTGTGGAAGTGTACGTTCCGGATGAGAGGATGCATGGGAAGGGAAAATATTTTCTTTCTGTGCATCCTCCTCATCCTCCTGTGGACTTTCCGGATGAGAGGATGCATGGAAAGGAAAAATATTTTTTCTGTGCATCATCTCCTCCGTCGATTATAGGTAGGCAACGCATATGCAATTGCGCATGTCTATGGGCAACGGTCACTTCGCCATTTTAGCGATTTCAGGTGGCCGCACGCTCGTTTGCCACCTTATGATATAAAAAAAATCTGTGCAGTGCGTCAACGCAGCGTTGACGCAACGTCAGTGTAGCATTGTTTAAACATTTAATATTCAAACTGTGAAATACTAAGTCCTAATTTCAAATCCTTTAACACTAAAGCTATGTTGAAAAAAATAAAAGAAACTCTAGTACATGTATTCCATATGGAACAAGTTCTATGCTGTATACTGAATTGCAAAAATAATTGACGTACCCTAAACATCGGGTAATCAATTGCGTGCAAACATAAGGTGCTATACCGCCCCTTCCGGTCTTTTAGTGATCAAAAAATCGATTAATGTTAGGGGAAATTAATATTGCAATATATTTGCCGATAATTATAACGTTTGTTTACTTATCTGGTTTAATAATCTGAATTGCATGAACTAAAAACCCTTTGATAACCAAGTTGTCGACATAAGGTACAGCGTTAAAACATAGTAATATTATAAATGCAAATGTGTAGATGTATGGATGAATGGATATTATTATAAAGTATCTCCAAAACGGTTGCATGGAATTTTCTGAAATTTTGCACAGATGTAGAACATATTCTAGATCATCGGTTCCCAAACTTATTTTGTCTACTGCCCACTTTGAGAATAAATATTTTTTTAGCGCCCCCATATTTTCACATATTTAAAAACCAATATAACTTCAAATTAAATTAATGAATTATTGTGACCTATATATGTATATTAACGGAGAATTCTAAACGAAACTTTTACTATAACCCGCAACTTGAGACCTGCAGCGCCCACAAGGGGTCGTTATCGCCCACTTTGGGAAAGACTGGTATAGATGAACACATAGGCTACTAATTATTTTGCTGCTAGTTAAAAATAAATCATTATAAAACCATTGAGGGGAAGAATAAAATCGTCAATTTTAATTAGGTTATACAGTTTTGAAATAATTCGTCGCATATGTCATAAGAAATACCGTGAGAATAAACCCAAGCGAAGAATGCTTTTTAATAGCTTTGTACTTAGCTGAGAGAAATGAGTCTAGAAAAATCTTTTTAATGCCATTTAAAAATGCACTAAATTGTAAAGAAAAGACTTCACATAATATTGAGGTCACTGGATAGCTGGCTCGCTGCCTTTTTCCTGACTTTTGGCGCCATCTTGTTTGTTTTTAGATGAATTAAAATTGTGTCAAGGATAATTCATTTTGTTGTGAATAATTTTAGTTATTTTTAATTCTATGCTTAACTTTCTAAAGCATATTGTGTCTTTATTGCCGCAACATCTACAACATTAATAATCCTCACTAGCTGTCGCTTGCAATTCCGTCCGCGTGGAGTTAAAAAAAAACTTAATAAGTAGCCTATGTGTCCTAGGATATGTTCTATACCTGTGCAAAATTTCATCAAGATCTGTTAAGCCCATCCATCCATCCAAACATTCGCTTTTATTATATTAGTAAGATTTATGGATGAAAAAGAAAAAAATATATGACAGGATCGCATCAACTGGCAAACAGTAGAAGTTTACGTAGTTTCTTAATTCGTTGTTAGCAGACTTAAAAGTTCTAAAGTCTGCAGCAGCATTAGCTGCTCATCTTGCTGTCAATTTGGTATTTAAGCAAAATCAGATGATTGCTAGTTGTGTTTGTAATATAGAAATAGCGACTTAAATCAATATTTATACACCAACTAGCTATCGACCGCGATTCCATCCGCACGGAATAAAAAAAAAACTAAAAATTTCTAGCTTATGTGTTCATCCAGACATGATCTGCATCTATGTTAAAATTTATTAAGAACCGTTGTGTCGTTGTGGAGATACTTTCAACAAACATCCATCCATGTAAACTTTCAAGACTGAATTAGATGAATCGAAGTATACTTGAATTCAATGATTGGAATGTACTAATTAATAGCGTGTATCACCTGCAAGGGCAATTAACGGTCAGTGCGCAAATTAGTGGCCGGGGTCACTGCAATGGCTAGTGGCCGTAGCGTTGGCCAATGGCCACCGAGCCGTCCAGTGGCCACTGATTCATACGACGCGCAATACTCATTATACTCCGCACATGGCTATGGGATATCCTTTTTGATTTGGACGCATTGTTACGGCGCTCGTTTCCTGTTGATTGTTTTTTTTTTTTTTTTAATTTTTATTTGTATAATGGCTTGTGTTAGTTGCCTTGTTGACGTTTGTTGAAAGTAGTTTTTTTATGTATTAGATTTTAATGGCCATTGAAATGTCTCTAAATTGTAATTGGCAGACAAGTCATTATTATTTCATGAATGTTAGTCTGTTTTTATTTAGTAACTATCTATCGCCCGTGACTCCGTCCGCGTGGATATATAAAAACTTAATATATAGATAAGTTAAATAAAAAGCAGCACTTCCAGGCATAAATTCGAAAAAAAAAAGTATACTATATCAGTCTCCTGGTTCTCAGCTCCTCACCAATTTTCAGGCATATCGGTATATATATCTAATAAGATAAATCTACGGCTATTTTAAACAAAAGGTAAACTAAATTTCTAGTTTAGTTATAATCTCTATAGCATGAAAATTGGTTCCTTCATAGAGTAAACATATTGTAGGTCAACGAACTGTCATTTGTATTTGTGGGGGCGACAATCTATGACACTGTGAGAATCATTGTTACAATGATGGTACAATCTTGTCATAACAGAGATCTTAGGTCATGTTCACACAAAGCGTTTTATCAGTGATTCTAAATATACTTATGTATGCTAGTGTGAATGTGACATTATATAGGTTAGTAAAACACTATTCTAGTAGAAATACGCATTATAGCTCCTAAATATTATAGTAATAATATTGCGTCATAATAAACAGTTAACTGTTTGTTTCTGAGACTAAAATCATGTCATTATCATTGAGGAAACAGAGACCAGTCTCAGAAACCCACGCTAAGTGTTGCACGTGTAACTTTTATGTAAACTCAGGTACATGATACTGCGTAAAATTTATGTTTCATATTTTATCCGTTAGACATGCAGGCTGGATCACGATTGTATTTTATAATCGTGAATCAACTCTCGAGTATTTTTAACTGTTTAAGTTTCGAAATAATTTATATTAAGTACATATTTTTTTTTTAAATATTAGCAGATTTTTGTAAACTTACTTATATTTGTACCATTCCAACTAAGCTGTAGGCTTGTGCTAGGATGGGCCGCGGACGAGAGCCAAAGCTTGCCCGTGGTCCCGTCCCGATGCGTTGGAGGAACAGAGGGGTTTAGTGGGTATGCCTCCGCTATGGAGGAGAATCCCACATATCTACCGCGTCCCCCCGGGGCCGGAGTATGCATAAAGCACACCCCTCTGAAAAAAAAGGCTTGTGCTAGGATATAGTTTACGACAATTGTCGAATGGCAGCATTCGAACCCCAAACCTCGTGATCGGAAATCCGTACCCTTAACCATTAGGCTATTGGCGCTTAAATTAAAATAGTTAAGATATATGTATTACATGGTATATCTATATTAATGTTTTAAACAGGAAATATTTGTTAGCATTGAATAGGCACTGAAAGTACTGAACCGATTTGAAAAATTCGTTCACTGTTAAAAAGCTACACTATTCCCAGGTAATATAGGCTAGATTTAATAAGATTTTTTATTCCTCGCAGATAAAATGCGAGCAACTGTTTGTCTACTGAATGTACGTTATGTGTATTAATCATTTTCTGCTACTACTGAACAAATCCGTTACATAAATGAGATTAGCAACCAAATGACTTCGTAATCCTCCGTATATTCGCATACCAGTGGTTTATCTACTAATTAAGGCCTAGCACAATGCGAAAGTGAAGTGGTAACGAAACGAAGCGAAACGCAAAAAAAAGAGGACACAATCCATACTAATATTTATCATAGAAAGGAAATATTTGTATTTTGTTTGTGATGAATAAACTAAAAAACTACTTGAGCGATTTTTAAAATTCTTTTGTCATAAGCTATGTTATCATTGAGTAACATAGTCTATATTTATAACTAATTTCTTTTTAATTCTACTAACAAAAAAAATTGCAACACATTTCTTTACTATGCGACTAATTGTTATAGCCTTATAAGTAGTTTTTTTTCTTACTTAAAGTTTTTTTTGCCATAAAAAGATTTTTAAAAAATTTCATTCTTAATTTTTGCTATATAAGCAAAAAGGTTTGTCTGGATTGCGTCTAATGAAAATTCATAGTATCTGTCTACCCCTTAGTGCTTGTTATAAAAAAATGTCACTATAAAAGCGAGTCAACAGCGGCAAGAGGAATTCGTTTGTTTGCGCCCTTACGTTAGGTCACTGGGTCGCTGGATAAACGAGTGTTAATTTTAGCTCGCATGCATTTTAAAGTGGACCGCTTTTTATATCTGTAATGGCCTAGCGTTTCCCCTGTGACGTAGGCGGGCAAGGCATAGACAAAAATAAGCTAATAGTTGGGGTTATTTCTTGGACTACTTTCGCTATCGCGCTCTTGTATTGAAATAAATATTAATTTTGACATGTCAAACTGCTACGGAATCGTTTAATGGCAACTTTCCATACTAAATCTACACTAAGATACTGTATAAGTGATCATTAAACGTCGCACTCAGAGTTGTAATAACGTTTTATAATTAACTTATCTCTATTAAGGAATACTTACATTTTATAGTAATGTCCAGGATCATTTATTATTAAAAATAGCGCCATCTAGTTTGAAAAATATTGACTAATTGATTGCTTTCTGTTTTTATTTACTTCTTGTTTAGTTGGTTGATTATCTTTGACAAAACAGAGATAATGATATGTTTAAATGAGAGATTTTAGTCTCGGAAACGCACGGTTAAAAACTTACTGTAGTTTAAGACTGAAGTAATGAGTTTGAATTATCGATATTCGTAATTATATATTTCTAACTCTCTAAACTGATACCAAATATATCTCCGCAGTGATGGGCATCAAACGTCTCAAGCAGATCGAGACGATGTTTATATCGCGGCGTCTGCAGGGACCGCGCAATGGCTTCAGTGCTGAGACATTGTTGGACATGCTTCTTGTTCTCTACGATGAATGCTGCAACAGTAGTCTGCGCAGAGAGAAAGCGGTTGCTGACTTCATACAATACGGTAAGTTGATTATAAAATTGCAAAATAAAGGTCATTAGAACCTTCCTTATTGTTAGGTGGAACATTCTAGCTATGAGAATTGTGCTATACGTAAAGTACCCCTAGTTTGTGATTTTCTATAAAAATGCATCAGAAATTATATGTTTTATATGAAAAATAAGAGACAGATATTTCTTAATAATAACTTGAATATTTCTTATTCTTGAATATTTTATATCTAACTCGAAGGACCATTTTATTCAGTTTTTTCAAATAAATCACCATTTTTGTAACCTTTTTGTGCCATATCACAAACTAAGTAAGTTGTGTTTATATGTAATATTTATTATGTATATTCCAGTAAAACCCGTAGCTACAGCACTCAAGCGTCTCAGGTTATCAAGAGATGATTTTGAACTGGTGAAAGTTATTGGCAGGGGCGCTTTCGGTGAGGTTTGCGTTGTGCGGGCCTCTTTTATGCAAGTAAGTGATATTCGATTAAAGTCTACAATAGAAATGCTACTATGCCGTACTTAGTAATTAAGAAAACTTACAGTTAGGGACTCCCTTAGCGCTCAATTAACCTCACTTTAGATTAGTTCGATTCGTTCTTTTGTTTGTGTACAAAAAGTATATAAAACATAGGATTTATTTGATTTTAATATATTTTCTTTCTCTTTGTATTCGCAGGGCACAGATGGCGGAGGTAACATGGCGGCCGCTGCCGGTGGCACTGTGTCCTCCACGACCGGCGAGAGAGTCTACGCTATGAAGATATTGAATAAGTGGGAAATGTTGAAAGTATGTGTCTTTTATTATTTATTACTTTATTTATACTAATATTATTAAGAAAGATTAGATTGTTTGTCTGTATGAATAGGTTAGGAAAGTACGGAACCGATTTGAAATATTGGATCACTGTTGGAAAACTATACTATCTCTGGGTGACAGGCTAGTTTTTGTAAAGTTGCGGATAACTGCTAAGTGTTTAAATTAAAGCTTGTAATAAAAATTGTGTTTTAATTTAGATTAAGAACAAAAAGTGCAATTTTTACTTAGAGAACATGGCCACTTTTACTGTAGGGAACTAAATACATCATTTTTTATTTAATCGATTTATTAAGGTGCTATCGATGATTTCATTCATTAAAAAAAAAACGAATATACTGTTATTATTATCGCCTTTCTGGTGTATACAGAAAGTGCAAAAGATTATCGCCTTTAAAGTGGAACACCGACAATTGACATGACTGTACATTTGAAAGTTGTGATCAAATTAGTAATTTCTATGTTGATTTATTTTGCAGCGAGCTGAGACTGCGTGCTTCCAAGAAGAGAGAGACGTGTTAGTGTTCGGAGATAGGAGATGGATTACGAATTTACATTATGCCTTCCAAGATGAACATAATCTGGTGAGAAATGTTTACTATGAATTATTATTATTAGTTTTATCTTTTGTTTATTAAATCTTTATGATAAAAAAAACAGTATGTTCAAATGAACTGTTTTTGTCAAGTGAAGTGTCATTTCATTCGTATTCTCCGATTTTTACGGCTATATAGATTCGTGTTTATTCTTCCTGTCCTAAATAAACTCTCTGGTCAAACAAACACTTTTTTAAGAATGAAAGGTTGGGAAGGGGATGGATTTTACGGAGAAGAGGACATATATAATGGGGAAATATTCTATTTCTGTCCTTCTCCTATGTTGATTAAAGGCAGGCAACGCATTTTCAATTGCGGATTGCCTCCGACTAATATGAAGAATATATATCTTTAATATATCTGTTATAATGACTATTTGGTACTTTTTACGTCGTTGTAACGGATGTATGTATGTGCAGTACCTGGTGATGGACTACTACTGCGGCGGAGACCTGCTGACGCTGCTCTCCAAGTTCGAGGACCGCCTGCCGGAGGACATGGCGAGGTTCTACATCGCGGAGATGGTGCTCGCTATACAGAGCGTGCATGAACTTAGATATGTACACAGGTGTGTGTGTGTGTGTGCGTGTGTGTGTGTCAACATATCACTTACACTTTTAATAAATAAGTTAGTAAATGCCAAATTTTAAAGATATAAAGGACCGTCTCGAAGGACCAATTGTTAGATTTTTGTTAACTTAATCGCCGTTTTTACACAATTTTGTATCCAGATTGTGTGTAGTGTATCTTACTCCTTACTAACATTATAAATGCGAATATTTAGATGGATGGATGTTTGTTTGAAAGTATCTCCGGAACGGCTCAACGGATTTTGATAAAATGTAGAACATAATCTCGAAGAACACGCAGGCTAATAATTTATAGTTTTTTTTTATAAATTTTAATTAGTTTTTTTTTAATTCACGTGGACGGAGTCGCGGGCGATAGTAATCACGATATATGCACGATGTTTAGAGTTCTTGTTATTTTTTGGGTTTTATTATTAAAAGTGACATAAATGTAATAAAATATTTGATTATTTCAGAGACATAAAGCCTGACAATGTGTTACTGGACGCCAGTGGACACATCAGACTGGCTGACTTTGGTTCCTGTCTCAGACTTGGTGATGATGGAAAGGTAATCTTTTATATGTTCCTAAAGTAAAAATAATAAAAAATGTTTCAATATAAATAAAACACTTGTAAGATACGTGTGTTTGTATGTAACAAATAAACTCACAAACTGCTGGACTGATTTAAAAAATTCTTATGACATAAGAAAGCTGAGTAACACAATACCTATATTTATTACTAGATTTTTTTTATTTTGGATGACCGAAGTCTCTGGTAAAACTTAGTTTTTAATACTTTACAGTAGTTATTCAGTTTTATATTGAATTAAATAAATTAGGTATAATAAAATTATTATTATTTTATTTTGTTGTCTGTCTGTCTGTCTGTCAAGTCCTTTTTTTAATTAAATCCTGGGTATTTATATTTCAGGTACAAAGTAATGTGGCAGTGGGAACGCCAGATTACATATCGCCAGAGATATTGAGGGTAAATTTTATATTATTTTGTATTTTATCTATATATTCATAAATTATATTCAGATTATCTGTAAACGAGTCGTAGCTGATAACGAATAAACTATTTTTGTTCTATCTGTTCGTCTGTCCGTAAGTTCCTGGTTATCTCCGGAACGTATGGATTTGATAGTACTTTGACAAGAAGGTATACGAGCATTTTAAAGGCTTCTTTATTTTTAAATTCCGCACTAACGAAGCCGCGGGTAACCGCTAGTTAAGTTACAAAATTGTATAGTAAATATTAATACAGAAGTTATTTTAAAATTGAATTAAAAATATTTTTTTAAAGTTTATAATTTGAATATTAATTTTTCCAGGCGATGGAGGATGGACAGGGACGTTATGGACCAGAATGCGATTGGTGGTCATTAGGTAAATTATAGTTTCTATAATTGTGTTATGACTTTTTAAATTAATGGAAACATGTCGACGTGTTTTTGATTAGTTTGTATTAGTTTGAATTATTGTATGATTGTCTGAGAAATAGCATCTATCTTTATTAATATATATAATAAAATTGGTGTGTCCGTGTGTATAATTAACATTTCTTGTATGTGATGGATTTTGGAACCTATGATGAAAAATCAATTTTTATCTGTCTATCAATCTATCAGTAAGCCGCGCTTGGGTTGTGCAATCTCCGGCACGGCTGGTTTTATTTTGACCGAACTTTGACTAAAAGGTAGCTTATACGTTAATGTTATAAACTATTTTTATTAATTCTGCAGGCGTGTGTATGTACGAGATGCTGTTCGGTGAGACGCCGTTCTACGCGGAGTCGCTGGTGGAGACTTACGGCAAGATAATGAACCACGCGCGCTGCTTCCACTGCCCGCCGCCGGATGACCTCGCACCACAAGTCTGTATACACTTACAATTAAAAATAAATAAAATTGAAGGAATATTTGACATGTTTGTATAACCTAATGAGGGCATAAGATGATATACCAAAAGAAATTTCGTCTTCATTATATTATAAATGTGGTGGATGGATGGATGGATGTTTGTTAGAAGGTATCTCCAGAACGGCTGTATAGATCTGGCTGAAATATGACATAAATGAACAAAGTCTGAAAGAACACATAGGCTGTTAATTAACTTTTGTTTTTTAAATTCTGCAATGTAATGTAAATTAATAAAATACAATATTCAAATTCTAAAAATGTACAACATTTTGGTTTGAAAACTTCCAGGTTTCAGAAGAGGCTAAAGATCTGATACGACGATTGATCTGTTCGTCAGAAAACAGGCTGGGAAAGAATGGGTTGCAAGATTTTAAGGTAAAAAAAACATAAATAACTTAATATTTTGAATACTATAAAGAATAAATATAATTAATTAAATTGCGTTATTTCGCGAAAGTCCATTGGTTATTGCGACTGCATACAGTCTTTTTAATGTTGTTATAACCGAATTTTCCTGTACATTTCCAGAGCCACCCGTGGTTCGCCGGCCTGGAGTGGGACAATGTGCGTGAGATGCAAGCTCCCTTCGTGCCTGACGTCTCCAGTCCCACTGACACCTCCAACTTTGACGTCGATGACACTGATATAAGGTTATTATTAATACATTAAAAAAATAAATTAGTAGCCTATGTGTTCTTCCAGACTATGCTCTACACCTACGCAAAGTTTCATCTAGATCCGTTGAACCGTTTTGGATTTACCTCATAACAAATATCTATTAATTCAAAAATTCAAAAAATATTTTAATTTCCTGTATGTCCTCTCACCATCTATTCATTACTTCTAAGTGTGCAAAGTGTCTAAAGTAATTCAAACATGTTTTATGTGAATGTTTCACCGGTATCCACGTGTTTACAGGTTATCAGAGGCAGTACCTCCGCCCCCGCCGTCTGCAGCCTTCTCTGGACGTCACCTTCCCTTCGTAGGATTCACCTTTACTGCAGGCTCTCGCTTGTCAGACCTGGGTGCGCCTACGCCGCTCAGTCCCGCAAAGAATGCGCCTAGTCAGGTATGTAGAATTAGAATAGCTTTTCCTACTCTAAATCTTCATCAGTCTTGTCTATTTCTCCATACATCCCTGTTAGCCATCATATCTGAATTTATTCCCTTACGTATGTCCTCTTTCATCCATCCATACATTTTTGGAAGACCAAGAGTTAGAATAATAGTCCCATATAATAGTTATTTTCCGCGGCTGATGACAGATTTGAATTGATTCGACTACTTTCAATGGCAATTTAGGTCGTTCCTTATTCGATTTAGTATGAGAAATATACACTAAGCGACTGATTAAGCAACCATCAAACCACTCTGAGTCCGGTATGGTATAAATATGAATTATTTATTCAGCAGGCTCCGTCTAACGCGGGTGATCGCGCTGCACTCAAAGCATTGGAACGAGAGAACGCTTTACTAGCGCAGACAATAGCTGAGCTGAGGTCGGGTGGATCCGGCCTGGATGTTACTAGTGGTGAGATTCTTATATCACTGTTGAACCCCTTTTCCACTAAGCCAGTTGACGTAACTGTGATTTTATTGTTAGCTTATTGGAAAAGAGGTAAAATTTTAAAAAATGACGTTAACCAAGTTAATTGTATGATTATTTTAAATGACATTGTTATTAGCGCTTTTATTATAGTTTCATACATATAAAAAGCAGATGACTTTTAATTCTATTTACTATTGACATTTCAGAAGAGTTGATTCAACTGAAAGAAGAATTATCGACATTATCAAAGAGGAACAGCGACCTTGAAGCACAGTTGAGATGTCACGAACAATTGACAGCGGGAGTCACTACTACGGTAATATTTTGAACTATTTATCAAACTATTTCCGTATCAAATTAAAAAAAGCCTATATGCTATTTTCAGCAAGCGCTTAGAAACTTCATCATATTTTGTCGGTGACGTTACAAAATCTTTCTCACGAGTGTTCGTATTAGGCACCATGTTCCAAATTATATGGAGATCAGTTTAACCGTTCTGAATTTATGTGATAACAAACGATAATGCAATCTTTCACATTTATAATATTAGTAAGATAACTAGTGGTCGTCCATTGCTAAAAGTCTAATATAATTAGTAATCTTTTTTTTATTTTTTTCCCCCGTTTCTGCCCGCACGAAATTATAAACAAACTTTATTAGTAACCTATGTGTTCCATACTATGTTGTACATCTAAGCCAATTTTGAGCGAGATCCGTTCAGACGTTCCGGCAATATCTTCAAACAAACATCTAACCATCTAAACATTCGCATTTATAATATTAGTAAGATTTCCACATTAATTTTAATTAATTAAATTTAAGCAGTATTCTAAAAAATGAGATCAAGATATTCGATTGACGTATTAATATTGATAATAAGTAAGATTTTTAGTAATGTTATTAATATATTTCAGGATTCGAGTTCCCCACAAGATGTACCAACGCGATTGAGAGAATTGGAACTATTGGTTGCGTCATTAAACTCTGAGAAAGATGAATTAATTAAAGATAAGACTGATGCTCAGGAGAAACTAAGATTGCAGGTAACAAATTAAATATTATATTTATAGTATTTTAAATTTATAATTAACATTTATAAATATTGAAGGTGTTCACCGAGATATAGTCTAACAAGGTCCGGTGAGAGGTCCTGCTATCGCGGTTAGATCTGTCAGAAAACATGTGAAACACACGGGGGCATAGAAATTGGGATATAAAAACTTTCTAATAGGTTTTTTGCCATTGAAAGAAGGGCGCTTGTGAGCTATCATCATTTAGTTTGACAAATATACTTGTCGGTTTATACTTTTGCCTGTTTTCCTACCGACAAATAATAACGAATAATCTTGTATCTAGGACAAGGAGTTAAAAGACGCGTTGTCGCAATGCAAGCTGGCGATGGCGGAGTACAACGAGGTGTCGGAGCGGCTCTCAGAACTTAGGCAACAGAAGCAGAAGCTGTCGCGACAGGTTAGCACCACTATTGGTATAAGTTTATAGAAAAAAACTATTTTTTTTTTTCAACAATTCTCAGCGATAACTACAGTGGAATTTGAATAAGCGAGAAATCTTTATGAGCCAGATAAAGTTCTCTGTTAATTATCCATAAAGTGCATGACTAAAACGTATGAATTCCAAAATACAGTCCAACCTTAATAACGAGTCTTAAAGGACAGAGACATTTTTCTCGCTTATGGTAGTAATCCTTCGGAGTCGGACAATGACTTACTTAGAGAGGTTTCTCGCTTATCATGTATTTTGTCTGAATAATATAAGCCTTTTTTATGTAATCTTATTTCTATATGGCTGTTCAGTATCTTATTCTTAATAAATTATAATATATATTAGATGCATTAAAGTATTACAATATGTTAAAGGTTCGTGATAAAGAAGAGGAGCTGGAAGTGGCAATGCAGAAGATAGACGCGCTGCGGCAGGACATCCGGCGCAGTGACAAAGGTCGCAGGGAGCTGGAGGCCAGGCTGGATACTGCCATCTCAGAGGCTACTAAAGTAACTTATATATTCTTATTCTTTGTATTCCATCGTCTTCTAGCATGATATATATACAGGGTGTTGCGGAAGTTACGTGGATGATTGTGCCTATAAAAAAGTATAGCTTGAAATGACGATTTAACTCAATTTGTCAATTTACAAAGTTACTTTAGAGGACTTTTATGAATTTCCGGACATGCTGTACTTAGCAATTCGGATAATATATGAAAAAGTGATGTGTTAGAAAGAGATGGAAATATATCAAGCGATTATGTATTTAATGTGTATGTAATAGGAGCGCAAGTTGCGTGAGGAGACGCTGAGGTCGCAGCGCGAGGGCATGGCGGCTGCCACCGGACCCGCAGCCGATGTTGCCAGGCTACAGGCTGATGTTGAGGCGTTGGAGGTACTGTACTGTATCTTACTAATATTATAAATGCGAATGTTTAGATGGATGGATGTTTTTTTTAAAGTTAACTACAGATCGGCTGAATGGATCTTGATGATATTTGGTATACATATAGAAAATAGTCTGGAAAAAATCATAGGCTATTAATTACGTTTTCTTTTAATTCCGGCCGCACGGAGTCGCGGGCGACCGCTAGTAATCTCATAAGGATTTTATGACAGATTTTAGACATTGACAAGGGAACGCATTTTAATTTAAAGGGTTACCAGTGAGCAAAAATTTCCTAATTGTCCTTTTTATATTTAAGGTAAGGTTGTATATAAGTATACCTTATGTATTAAATATTTGTTATATACAGTTGCAGTACAAGGAGTCGCTGGCGCAGCAGCAGGCGCGGTACAACGCGGAACTGGCATCGCTCAGGGAACAGCTGCAGGAGGGAGACGCTGTCAGAAATGTACTCAATAGAGAGGTCAGCTCAACTTATACTGGACTCTGATTGTTATATTGTTTGATTAATGGATCACTGGAATAAAGTTACAACTCACTGACCTCCAGTAGCCTAAATGACAATCTATTTTGACGTGTTACGTGTCATTTGGTTCGTACTCTGTCCTTGTAGTATTATAAGAAAATTAATAAGTAACCTATGTGTTCCTTCAAACGATGTTTTACATCTATGCCAAATTTCATCAACATCGGTTGAACCATTTTGGAGATATCTTCTAAAAATACATCCATCAATCCATACAACTAAACTTTCACATTTATATTATTAAGTAGGATTCCTTTCTTTCTCCAATGACTAGTATAAAATATATTTGTGTCAACAGCTGCAAACATCTAAAGAGAAGCTGGAGAGCCGTCGGTTGGAGCAGATGTCTGACAGTGAGGATAAACAGATGCTCATCAATGACAATAGGAAGCTGGCCAAAGATCTGGATGCTGTAAGTTATATAACAGGTTTTATAGACTGGATATTCATACATTATTAAATCTTTTGACTAAATTCAGTTAATCGACTTCCATGGTATAATTTAAAAAAAGGAATTCTCTGTGGATTTTTTTTTCTCAGTCAATTCATGGGAAGCCATGAATTAGTTTAGATTTGCCTATTAAATATCTAATATTCACCTTTAAAATGTATTTGATGAAGACTTATTATATTCATACGTATTTTATAACAGATGGCTGAGAACGGCAGAAGATGGCAGACGGAAAGGAGACAAATGGAGATGGAGTTGGAGGAGTTGCGAGCGAAGAGAGATACGATGCAGCATTGGGAGACACAGGTAATATGAAATATTAAGTTTTAGTATATCTATAAAAACAAAAATAATTGTAACTTTATCGATAAAAAAAAAATATATTTTATACGCCTACTTGCTGCAACGGATCCTACGCGCAGGACTTAGGTTAATAAGTAGTTCTTCCAGACTATGTTCTACATCTATGCCAAATTTCAACTAGATCCATGCAGCCATTCTGGAGATACCTTCTAACAAACATCCATCTATACATCCAAACATTCGCAGTGTCCAAAGTGTTAACGTTTTAATATTTGATTTCAGATAGCTGATATAATTCGCTGGGTGGCAGACGAGAAGGAAGCTCGCGGCTACCTGCAGGCTCTCGCCACTAAGATGACTGAGGAATTGGATTATCTTAAACATGGTAAATCTTTTTGATATATTGGTGGCAACGACTTTTATTTTATTGTTTTGTTATTAATATAATTATTTGACTGCACCAATACAAATAATTTTCATCATGTATGATGATGACATTCTGATCTGATGATGGAGCTGGAAGGTGGCAATAGCTTTTTCGCAATGAAACGACATCACGTCATCAAGTTTGGACTCGATTGAATAATCTCGACAAGTAGTTAAAATACAAAATTCTCACAAATTATTAAAAGTGAAATATTATTGGCGTCAGTCATATGACTTACTTACTTTTATTTAATTTTAACAATGAACTGTTTCAACAGCAAGTTCAGGTCGTTCAGGCATGGTGCCGCCGTCCTCCCCGCCGGCAGTTGGCTGGGCGGGGGGCGGGGCTGCAGGCGGAGCGGGGGCTGCAGGGGGCGGTGCGGGGGCTGCGGGCGCGGCGGGGGGCTGGCGCAACCGGCGCTCGCAGAAGCTGGACAAGATGGAGATTCTGACACTGCAGTCCTCCCTGCACTCAGAGATACAGGCCAAGCAGGCGGTGGGGGAGGAGCTCAGCAGGACCAGGGCGGAGCTGCTCGCCAGTCAAAGGTGACCACACGAATATATCTAGATTTTTTGCTATAAAAATAGTTTTTTTGATGTACTCTGACCTCAGGGACAGGTTGACACAAGCATAATAGGTCTAGTTATCGAACTGGGTCGTCTTTAGACGCTTGGGACATTTAATTTGCTGGTCCTTCGAGCAGGATATTTTATATCTTTATAAAAAAATGTTTATTGTTAACATTGTGATTCATTTGCTAAAATAGTAATAATTGCATAGCAGTAATCAACAGATGATAGACAGGTAAAGGACGATTTCTATGCCAAATCCATCTCTTCCTTATAAGTATAAGTTATGGTGTAGAGCATAGTTAGGTGATGAGATGTTTGTGTGCACCAGGGAGCTGATGGAGACGCGGCAGAGGCTGGAGACGCTGGCGCACGAGATGAAGCGCAAGGAGCAGCACATCCGCGACATGCAGGACAAGCTGGACACGCCCGCGCACCCCAACAACTCATGTGAGTACCCACACACACACACACACACAACATACATACCAGTGGACTTGATTGATACATTACATACTAGCGGTTGCCTGTGTCTTTGTCCGTCTACAATAAAAATAATACTTATCGAATTGAGAACTTACTTTTTAAAGTTGGTTAGTAAAGTTGTCTATAACATTCCTGAGTGTATCAGCTACCTTCCAGTCAAAGTCCCGTCAAAATCAGTCAGTCAGTTCCGGAGATTAGCCGACACAAACTTGCACTTGTAGACATACAGACAGACAATTTTTTTTATTTGTTTTTTCGTTATCGGCTAAGCAAATACGTATATACAAAATGTTTTTTTTTTAATTCATACAAAACACTACAAATAAAATTTGCATACATGTTGTATTACTATTAAGGTAAGTTTTATTTAAGTGACCAGATTTTTTTTATTAAGATGTACAGTTTGTTTTGGAATATTATCGTAAACTAGATTTGGATAAAATTATCGTTGCGCTTAAAACGTAGGTCACAATTTCAGACATAAAAACCTTTTAGACCTTTTAATACGTTAAGTACTGGCTACTGGCCTAGCTTGCTCAATTGAAAAGATTGTAGTGGCATGTGACGTGTTATACTTCTAAAGTGGATGTATGAGTCTGGAAGGAAAAGTGTATAAGAATGAATGACAATATTTGCTTGGGCTTGCTTGAAAGCATGGGTGTCGATAAATTGTTATTTACAATCAAGTTCACTTGTATTTTTATTGCTTTTGGGCAAGTTGCTTTAAATTTTCATAGCGTATTATATAAGTAATATAATTTAATTTATTTATTAAATGTATAATTTTCAGCACATACTGTATAACAGAAGTATTATGTTTATTTAGTGCACCTTTTCTTTTTGTTTTGGTTACATGTTCCGCACAATCCCACCCCAATCAATACACGCAAATAATAAAACGTGAAATGTACGTATCCGTGACGTCACACGCTCGCCCCCGACGTCAAATGGAATTTTGGTCTCCCCCCACAAAGGGCAACGTCGACCGCGTCGAAAAAAACGAAAATAATTGCCGGGGATTTTATTTATATTCTGTATTCTGTTCACAATCGGTGGCATTATGGACTCTATGGTCGATTTGTGAATCTGTATTTTTTTTAATCTGTGAATGTATTTGGAACTGTGATTTCGAACGCGCCATTTCAAAAATGGAACACTTTGTTTTTTATTTTAACCGGCAACTGCATTTATGGACGTAACTGTATTTATGTGGCATTTATTTTACGTCGCGTGGATTTTATGTATTTTTTGTTGTTTTTTTTTTCTTTATTACTTCCGTGTTGTGCTTTGTATGACAGTTCGTGTATGGTTCAGGCCGTATATACCATTGTTTTTGGGCGTTACCTCATGTATATGGGGTGTTGCAGTTTTATTATATCACCATTTATATGATTTTAAATGAAATTATTTTTTTCATTTTGGTACTATGAATTGATGATTTTTTTTTTTTGTAAATCCAAAGTAAAACTTCTAGTCGTCAAATCGAAATCTAGTCTGACACGAATTGCCAAAGATTTTTTCATTTTTTTTTATTTTTACAATACGCCTACAAATTGAACTAGTCATAATTGTATTTTTTATTTTTAAGGATGACATATTGTGTCATTGCATATTTATGAAATGATGATACCACTATCATTTTAAAGTCTTAATAATTTCGGATCGAATCTTTCCATAAGTTAAAATATTTAAATCGGAATTAAAGCACACCGTGGAAGTAATTTTTTTTACAATTTAGTAAACTTTTAGTGAATCTCGGTGCATTTTATTGTTTATGTGAATATTTATTTTTGTTAAGCGAATCTTTTGTAATTTTTTGACACTACAGCCTTCATTATACATTTTTTCTGTGTTTAAAAAAAAAGACGTTATTTTGTTACACTTAAAGAAGGAAAATAGTTTTTGTAACAAACAAAATTGCACTCTCAGATGTTCGTAAATAAGTTTATTAGTAAAAATTACTTTTTTTTTTGGAATTATTAACAGAAAAATGTCGTAGATAGGATTTCTTGCTTTAATTCTCTTACAAACAGTTTTATTTATCCTCTTTCACTACCTTTTGGGCGCATAATTCTATTTTTTTTTTGATAGTACATAATTTTTTTTAATTTAAACTTTTTTTTTAACTCATATAAGGCTGGTAGTGTCGAAAACAATATTTTACGTTTCTTATTTACTGTTTGTGTTTTTTAAGTTTATATTTACTATGCATTTACTTCATTTTTTTTTGTTTTTCTTTGTTATAATATCCACGCGCAGTGCATGTGTATAAGTTAAATATATTTATGGGAACTTAAATGTTTATTGTTCTTGTATATAATACGATATTAAAGTTGTGTAATGCCTTGTTACATGTAGTTTGTTTTATTCAACCGAAGAAAACAACTGTATGTTATAATAGTCACATAGTTATAGGCTTTTTACCATAGCTTTAGAAAAAAAAAGATAAGAAAAAATGAAAAAAAAATTTTTTTTTCGAATTAAAAAAAATTGTCGAACTCAGAATTTTGTTTAATAGTTACTAAATTTGATGAAGTAATTGTTAAACTGTGTAGTTAATTTTACATGGGCTTATTATTTAGTGACTACTATAACATTTTCAAATAGAATATTAGTGACATTAGTAGAATGGTTTAAGGATCTTCCAAAAATCGCGTGAGGTTCAAAATTAGGGGTTCCGAAAAACACGAAACATCACGAAGTAGGGGGTTCTAAAATTAGATATCACGTTTATTTTCTGACTGAAATATTTAAACATTTCAATTCTACTTTGTACTAAAGATTAGAGTTAGTTTTTTGGGTAACTAGAAGTTGCTAAAAAACCTCACGTGTTTATTGAAGGACCTTAAACTCTTTGGGCGTTGTATCCTATACTATTATGCTATTGGTGTTTAATGTAAAATGAACTTAATGTACGGGGCATTAAAGTGGAAAGTTGTTGCAAGCAGCGAGGCAAGGATCTGCCAAATCGTCGACGTATTGGAGCGGCAAAGAAGAGAATGGTTCGTTGTTTTATAGTCTTAAGAGTTTGTCCATAATGTCTAATTAGAGGTAGATTATTGTTTGTGTATGTTTACCCCTTTTGTGTTATACAGTGTCTGTTGTTATGTTTATTTGTGATACTTAGATTTTTTTTTTATACTGGTGAATCGGAATTTAAGATTTTTTTAAAGAGAAAAAAAAATCAAATTTTTTTTTGCAATTTTTTTTGTGTTTTTTTATATGCAGACAATGTATGATCATTATTATTAACTTTAATTCCCCTTTCCATTCAAGTCATTCATTCGATATAATTCAAACAATATATTTTTTTACTGTTTTTTTATTTAACAACAGAGATTGTATCAATATAAAGCTCTAATTCATTTCTTGCCTTTGTGCGGAGTTTAATTTTTTTTTGTTTTTGGAGTTCATTTTGTAAATACGAGCAAGTGTAAAGAAAAAAAAAATGTAACGCAATATCGTTGTTTTGTGAGTCTTCCAATTATTTTATTATTTTATCGATATAATAAGATTATTAAATTTAACAATGATATACATAAATTATTACGTTAAATCATTGCTTCAGTTCTAAAACATAAATATAGCTAAATTATATTATCTAATTTACGTTGTACGTAAAACAAATTGAATGTTAATTACTCTTAATTACAATAATATATGAGTTTCTTATAATTTGTGCTAAAAAAGAAAAAAATAAGGAATATTTAAAAAAAAAAAAAATTTCATTTATGTATTTTCTTGTTTTTTATATGCAAAAAAAATCAGTAAAGACTCATAAAATTCTGATATGCGTTGATTTGCAATTACTCCAATATTTAATATACTTTTTTTTCCATGTAAATCGCTTTGCTTCTGCTTAAGCTTTTTGCGGTGGCATGGATGTGACATTGAATATTATAAAAAAAATATAATTGTAAAATTACAAAGTTACTATTACAGTAAACTTATTAAAAGACAGTTTTTTTTTCGGAAAAAAATCTAATTTTGTCAAAAAAGGTAATAGGAATGTAGTTGGTTTTTGCATCAAAACATTATTTGGAATCAATTCAATCTTATTTCATACTAGTACAATCGCATACAAAAGTTGTTTGAATTAATTATTTTTTTCACTCCATCCACATGTGTCCATTACATAACCACCACATAACGTGCTAAGCGATATGTTTTTTTTTTCTTTAACACTTGTTTGTATACGCATAGTTATTTTGACTAATATTTTTTTCTCAATTGTATAGTTTACTCCTACAGTTTTTTTTGTAAACCCTTCTTACTGTACGGCTAATGGTCACCATTCACACGGTATTTTGTGATTTTCTTGACTTCAATTCCTTAATATTACCTACAGCCTTCGGTTCAACTGCCGTCTCTTACATTCCTATAGTTATATTTTAGGTTTCATAGGGTTCTGACTTCTAACACATTGAGAAGGTTAGTCAGTTATTTAGTCAAGTTCAAATGTCAACACACCCCTTTTTATGAATGTTACAATGTTATTACAATGATGTGGAGAATTTAAACAGTAAATCATATTTAACTTTATAATTTACGTAAACTATGTAACATCTAGGATAAACATAGGTCGTATGGTATGTAAATATTTACTTTATGTATTATAACACCGGTATCGTGTGAATGGTGGCTTAGTGTATATCGTCTTTTGTAAATGTCCAGTGCATGTACGTAGTTGGAGAATTTAGTTCACTAAAAATGTTCCATTTTAATTCGAGTGTAAAAGTGTTACCGGCTATATTTAAAATTGTATTAAAAAATATAATTAAATTATAACACTTTTGTACTCGTATATACTTGCCACCATAGATTTTTTTTAGTTTATCATACCTTTTGTGAACGTGGTTTCGGTTGGGGATTGGTTTATGTGTTTTATTGTTTATCCTTACTTATTTTTTTTTTGTTTTTTTTAATTGGTTTTGAATCGAAGTATGGTGTTTTCAGTTTTGGACCGTCCACCGTCTCAGATGAGTTATTTGGATCAGTTCCTAAAGGACGCACCTGCAGAGAGGCATTACGACAATGTAGCCTCTATGAACAACGAACAGAAGGTCGGTATTCCTATGCATTTGATGATTTAATTTAGTTCACGTAATACTCGTGTCAATAATATTTTGTGTTATTAATACCTGTTATAATTGTCTATGATTTAATAAAGAAAAGCGCTTGTTAACATTGGTGGACTAATACTTTGTACATTTGAATTCAAAATAAGGTACAGGAAAAGCTCTTAAAAACTTTACTAGAACGATAAATAAAGCTAAAATTTTTATGATTTTTTTTCGAAAAAAAATTAATAAGTTAAAAAAAATTGATAACTCTTTGTCTTTTGTGTTAGGAATTGTTGCTTTTTATGTTTCACATTTTTTTTGCTTATTTTTTTTGTTTGCTTCCATGTTTTTGATTTTATGTTTCAATGGCTTGCGTACAGATGTCGCCGCAATACCGTTACAGAAATGCTCAGCATTGTTGCAATGTAAAGGTATTTTTCAACTTTTTTGTATTTTTTCTTAAATTATTTTTTTTTTTTCAATCCCCTCCAAAGCTTTTGTTGTTCTATGTTTTTGATTTAACCTTTTATGTTGGGTGTTGGTTTTTTGATATTACTTTAATTTTGAAAAAAGCATATGCCGAATGTTTGAAGCAAAAAAAAAAAATTACATTTTTACTGTTTGTATAAATATTTTAACATTAGATTTTGACTATAGCATTTTTTTTATAAGTGCACCTTAAAATAAAAAAAAATCTAAATTTAAATGACCATAATAATACAGTTAAACCAGGATAAGCGAGAGTCCAAAGGACCGCGGTATTTATCTCGCATACGAGGAGTTTCTTTTTATACGATTGATTGAACATGCATAATGAACTTGTGTTACCATATCTATCTTTGTTTTTTTTAATGATAACGATAGAGATGAGAATATATTTTTGGTACAATATAAATTCACAGTGAACACATGTTCCAGATGTACGGTTCGCAGCAGTCGTCTGCACTGAGCGGGTCCGCTGACTCCCCGGAGGAGGTGGAGCAGCGCGCCGCCTCGCCCGCCTCCACTAAGAGCTCGCCCAGTGACATGTCCACGGTCAGTGATACATCATCACCATCACCATCATCATCACCACCGTCATCATCAAAGGACCAGTTGTTCTCGTGCGTCTTCATAAACACGAAATTCAGACTTCTACATGTACAGGGCTATATAGTCACAAAATACTACGGGTTATATAACCCGTAGTATTTTGTGACTATTTGATTTTTGATGATTTCGTAGCTGGTGCTGAGGATTTTCAACCAGCCCGCACTTGGCCAGCGTGGTTCACTATTCCTAGTCTAGTCACCCTAAGTTAGAGTAGGCTCCGAGCCCCTCGGTGGGGACGTGTAGTGAGCTGACGATGATGATGAGGATTTGAACTAATGATAGAGATAGATTAAATGTCCGGAACATCAGCAGTTACGTTTAAGTCAGAACGAAACAGAAATTGTTATATCAAAGTAATGAGCTATAGTAATAATTCAGGGATAGTGAATCTTTAAAATAAAGTAACATTTAACAATTCTATTGTGTGTTTTATAGGGTTTTATTTTTTTCTAATATTACAAGCGTCAATAGCCTAATGGTTAAGAGTACGGATTTCCGATCACGAGGTCGGGGGCTCGAATCCCGCCATTCGACAATTGTCGTAAACCATATCCTAGCACAAGCCTACAACTTAGTTGGAATGGTCAAAGAAATATTAGTAAATTTACAAAAAAATCTGCTAATATTTTACAATTGTTGAGATAAGTGTTTTTTGTAATATAATTTGTATTATTGTATTTCTGATTATTTAATTGTTAATATATATATAAATTGCAGGATCCATCGCTAGGTCCTGGCGGCAAGCAGAAGATACATCAGTTCCTCGTGCGAACATTTAGCAGTCCCACCAAATGTAACCACTGCACCTCGCTCATGGTGAGACATCCACAACTCAGGGAAACGCACAGAATAAAAATATTTTCCTTTATTACTATTGCTTCACTCTTACATCAAATCCCCTTCTCATCTTTTCGTTATAAAGATAACTTTGGGAAGGGTAATAATAAAGGGGAATTCCATTCAAGGCGTATCTTGTATGTGGTCTTGGCATCGTACCGGCCCAGTCAATTCGAGTAACAGATGTTCTTGTAAAAATTGTAATTTTCGACTTATTTAATTGTTTCTTAAAGGAGATTTAAATTAGTATGTATGTGTGTCAGATCGGTCTGACACGTCAAGGCGTGGTGTGCGAGACGTGCGGCCTGGCGGTGCACACGCGGTGCTGCTCCCGCGTCGCCGCGCGCTGCCCGCTGCCGCCGGAGCGCAGCCGCAGACCTCTCGGCATTGACCCTGCTCGTGGACAGGGCACTGCATACGAGGGATATGTTAAGGTGAGGTAATCCGGCTTGAAGGACCACATTTATACTAGTGTCCGGCTCGAAGGACCACATTTACACTAGTGTCCGGCTTGAAGGACCACATT